AAATGCTCTACAATATGGTATACTTGGTTTCTCATTCCTGAATAGGTTACCTTATCCGACAAGGTCCTTCAAACACAGGGCTTAGAACTTTTGGTTAGCCCTAAGTAAATATATATTGTTTAGGGACTATCTAACATATAACGCGAAAGTCTTGATACAACATATTCGTTCATTTTTCGATAACTAAAATATATCTGGTTAGAGTTAGTTAGAATCAGAGTTTTTCACTATATCCGAATATATATTCAGATTTTTCTTCTGATGTAACATTGAACAGTTATCAGTAAATTTTATGAAAAAGTTTAACACTGTGTTTCTACCAAATAAAATAGCAGTTTTGGTGCACTCCTTAGTTTATATCTTGGTACAGACTTCAACTCAACATTATTGTAGAGCACTGAATTTTGTATTAAATGAAATCTTATCTATGTGTTTCTACTAAGAAGATAATTTTAATAGAAACTGGGGTTGGCAAAAAACAAAATCACTTTTTATAAAAACTGCTTTTAAAAATATAAAAGTTTTAAAATCTTTTATTTAAAATAGTATTCTGTACAAGTACCTTCTTTTTTCACTTATTTCTTATTGTTCCCAAAACATGGAATTAGCATTAAAAAAAAGCTATTATTTTTTCAGTCCCCTTTAGAGTTCGTCGAGTATGCCTCCAAAAACTTTGCACATGACGAGCTGTAGTTAGCTTGTTACTGTTATCTCCTTGTGCTACATGTTTGCTCGCAGCAATCTCTATAGAAAAAAAAATCATAATCGTCACTTTTGTTTTTAGAAATATGAGATACTAGAGAAAAAGAATGTTAAAACGAAATAAATAACAAAAGTAGATATAACAATAATCTATGGTATATTTAAACATCCGAAGAAAATGATGAAATTACTGATATAATTTGAAGTATCGTTCTACAATGAGATATTCCGCATACAATTGTTTAATGTATTTACTGTGTCGGTTGGATGTTGTATAAAATAAATCTCTTTAGAGAAAAGTAGGTACTTACAGATGAAATCTCTTCAATTATTTGTAGATGTGCTATAGTTATTTATTTGTTTCTTTTGAATAATAAAATATTCAAATAGATCTAAATAAATGTGAGTTATTCTTTCTAGAAATCAACTATTTTTTCTAATTCCAATACTTTTATAGTATAAGTAGAATCGGTCAGAAGAATTGATGATCACAGTATTCTGTACAAGAATTATTTTGAAACAATTTGATCATAGTTATTCAATCTTATTCGAGAACACATATTTGGACAGAGCAAAAACAACTGCTTCGGACTCTAACGACTTGTCTTTAAATGACCGAAATCTTAGTGAATATTTTATGTCAAGACTTTCGTGTTATAGGTTAATTAAAACTGTTTTTGAGAGAGAAAAATTTTGTACCGTTGGAACATAATGTTTTTTTTTTTTTTTGATAAATTTATATTTCTTTACTGCTACTCAATAATGAGTAGGAGATTGCGTTTTTTTTTCTTTGTGATTTGATTTGAAATAGTTCATAATTCGAATATCAATTGATTAAATAATATTTTAGATTGTTCCTGTAACAACATCGAATTTAGCTGAAGATAATTGGGCAAATTTTAAATCGAACCCAATACAATCTACTCAACATGACATAGAATTATCGAGTGACAAACAATCAACAAAAATAACTCATGATGATGATGTTTTTGGTGATTATGGTGAAGTACAAGTCTCTCGACCATTGCAAGAATCTCCTATACCAATTGTAAGTTCATTCGTAGTTAATTTTAAGTTATTGATCGATCTTTACTTTAGAATTCTTTAAACATTGAATCGATTGAATCTTTGATCTCAACTTGTTTTCCATTAGAATCTTCGACATTATCGACAGATATTGATAATTATATTCCTTTGGAATTACCATCTTTTACTGTATGCAAAGATCAAATAAAACAATTATCATGTTTTAAACATAGCCTATCGTAAGTATTTGTTTTATTCTATTTCTTAAATTAGTTCCTAATGTATATATCTAGTTTATGGAAATTACTATCGAATATATCAAATGATCCAATAGGAATTCAATATCAATGGCGTAAATCAAATATTGAACGTATATTTCATCAAGCATTAGGTGTTCATGAACGATTTCGTGTATGTCTCGAACATCAATTATTAATAATATCAAAAATAAAGTAATAATAATAAATTCTAGACTAAAACTATTCCTTTAACTTCTGAAAATTCACAATCAGAATCTCAAATAATGACTTCAAATGTTAATAATGAAAATAAAGTAATATTATTTTGACGAATATAATTAAATAAATCAAATTCATTTTTATTACTAGTTACTATCACAAACGATTAGTCCACATTTTGATTGGAAACAAAGTGGTCTAGAAAATCCACTTACTGGTAAGAATTTAATATTAAATTTTATCATAGAACATAGATAAAAGACTTCAGATAATCAATTATTCATACATAGATAATGATAGTTCATCTCTTTCAATAAATTCCATTCCGCTTGAGGAAAATGGTAAGTTAAATGTAACTAATCTAGTAATCACATAATAAGTCTTGTTTTAAATGCACATAAATATATATGTATATGAATCATTCTAATTAGCAAAATGTTTTTTTATTTTTAAGTTTTTGATGCAAACAAAACACTCGATCTTGATTATTATATTCCACCAATACAAACTTCAACATCGAATAAACAAGAACATATAACTTCATCAACGACAGTACATCGAAATAATAGTCCAATTCTTAAGCAACATACAACACCAATTAAAACAATGGATCTATTTCCAGGTTCAACAAGAGTATTAAATGATGATACTAAACCTGTTGTTGATTCAGTATCAAATTTTAGTTTTATGAATCCGAAAGCATTAATGCTTCGAACAAAAAATTAATAATGAATCAATGACATTATATTGATCTGATTCAATTGTTATTCAGTGATATTGTTAAATAAGAATTCTTCTTTTGTTTACTTGTTTGTTATATGCAATTAAAAAGAAAAACATTATTGTGATATTTTTTTGTACAATCCTTATATTATTATAATCGTAAGAAAAAAAAAACAAAATACAAATATACAAATAAATATTTTATTTGTTTTCTTTGCGATGCTGTTTAACGAGATTAGCCATTTCGAGCATGGCATCCGTAAGACCATCACCCGTAATAGCACAGGCAGATTGAACATGCCATCTGTGTTTACCACGAAGCTCATTCATAGCTAATTTATGAATGATTTCAGATGGTTTCATTGCATCTATATAAAAGAAATTTGCTTTTTTTCCGAAAAGAATAAAAGAAAAATAATAGGACATACTAGGCAGATCTTGTTTATTAGCAATAATAACAATAGGTACATTGGACATGTCAGGAACTTTGAGAATGCCTTGAAGTTCTTCTCGTGCTTCTTCTATTCGTTCTGGATCATTGCTATCAACAACAAATATAAGACCTTCTGTTCCTTGATAATAATGATGCCAAAGACCACGGATTTTTTCTTGACCACCAACCTTAGAAGAAAAAAAAAAGAGAAATTTATATTAGATTGAATATAGATTTGTCAAAAGAATACATACATCCCATACAGTAAATGTTACACCACGACATGGACTGACTGTTTCGACATTAAAACCTAGAATGAAATATAAAATAATAAAAAACGTTTTATATATTAATTAATATATACCAATTGTAGGAATCGTTTGAATATTTTCATTGAGTTTCACTTTATAGAGAATTGTTGTTTTACCAGCTGCATCAAGACCAAGCATTAAAATTCGAGCCGGTTTTTCTGTACCAAATGCAGCAAAAGCATCGTATATTCGACTGAGAAAAAGACCCATGATTAATTGTTATGTAATAGATGAGATCGATGAAAATTATTTTTGAAAGAAAATTCTGATGCACGATCAGTATTTAACGAGATTCGATGCATTGCCACGTTGATGTAGTTGTAAAAAGAGACAAACGTGTCAACGACTGACTCACCTGTAAATTATGCAATTCTCTTACCTTGCCGACACGTTGTACTGCTATGAGTCATTACTATTCTGATGAAATAACTGGCGAAATAGTTAATGAATTTAACCTAGTAATCTTTGTATTATGTATAGAATAATTAGAATTTTCGTTTGTTTTTTTTCTCAAAGAAGAAAATAAATTAGATTTGAAAGATTTAAATCCAGAAAAAAAAATATGAGCCTGATATGTTCAATCGATTGAAGTTTTGAATAATTATATATGATCATCCGTTTATATTTTAGCTATATTACCCAGTAATTCTGACATTTATTGTACTGTTTGACTATAAGTCATGATTATGTTTTAAGTAAATGAGTCGAAATAAAAACTGACGTATTTTCCCCTTACGATTGTTTTCAATTTTAAAAAAGAGAGAGAGCAAAGAATATTTTAGTAGCTGTCAAAGAATATATAAATTAAAATATTGTACAATTTGATAGCCTTCTTGTTTTGGTATATTGAACTTTTATTAATCGCCCGATTATCTTTTATCTAATAACACAAAATAATTTATCAGAAACGATGTTGAATTGTTATCGATTAGATGAAGTTGATAAGAAAAAGAAAAATTAGTACTGTGAAAATAACAGGCCTATGAAAGACGAATTTTATTTTGGTCGATTAATATTCTATACACTAAAACTACTATTAGAAGTGGGTGTTACTTTTTTTTCATACTAACGTCTAGTTGAAAAAAAAAAGAATAAATTAATTGGAAGTAGAATAATCGATTGTTGGATAAACGAAAAGTTTATAAAATATTTTTATTTTCCAAGCTCCATCAACATCAAACATAAGTATTAGGAATGATGTTTCATTCAAAAAAATATTTCATTATATACATATCTCATAAAATCGACTAAATTTAAATTTGATAGTTATTCTGTTGTTGTCTATTTCTATTATCTTTTAATAATTTTAATATTTTATCTGTTCATCAATTTCTTATTATTTCATTTACATATTTATATGAATCTTTACATAGTCATATATATATATATATATATTCTTATTTCAGATGAATACTAATAGCAAAGTATTTTGGCCTATTGTAGCAGCCGTTAGTCTTGGGGTTGGTTTTCTTGGCTACTGCGTTTATTTTGATCAGAAACGAAGAAGTGCACCTGAATTTCGTGAAAAATTAAAAGCTAGTTAGTATTATTAATTTTTCATGTATTGACTAAGATGTCAAATAGAAATAAAAAATATGTTGTACGAAAATCAACACAAATAATTACAATAATTAATTTTTATTTAGAACGAAAGAAACAAAAACAACGTGGTGGTGGTGGTGGTGGTTCAAACGAAAAATTTACTGTAAGCATTGTTTTTTGCTTTGCTTAACATAAAGATGATAGAATGATTTGTAATAGATTAATTCAAGTGATCCTGAAGAAATGCGTCGTTATTTTCTCGAACAAATTCAACAAGGTGAAGATTGCTTATCTCGTGGTATGTATTTACATTTTCTTTTTATATCTTCATTTTTAAAATATTTTTCCTAACCAAAAACAATATGCATAGGTGATCTTGATAATGGTGTTGATCATCTAGCAAAAGCCATAGCGGTTTGTAGTCAACCTCAAAGTCTGATGTCGTTATTTCAACAAACATTACCACCTGAATTATTCCAAGAAATCATCATGCGTTTACCACGAATTGCTCCAGTATATAAATTATTTATTTCAAAAGAAATACTATTCAATTTTTTCTTTTTTTAGTCAGTACTTGGTACATCTTCATCAGCTTTCAGTGGTGCAACTCTCACCGAACCAGACTTGGAATAGAATAATGAAAACAATAACAGCACTAAACACATTTGTTCCTCATTTTTTTCTTACTTTCATTCAAGTTAGACCATGTTGTGTGTGTGTGTATCTCATCTCGTTTATTTATACTCGAGTATGATAAAGTAGAAATACATAAAACAACAAGAAAAATTTGATATATTGCTCTAAAACATGATAGATTTATTTAAGCTTGATTGTTAAAATTTATTCTTTACAAAATAATTGTTCAAAAAGTGTGAATAAAGTTAAGAACAGATTTGCATTCTTGGAGAAAATATTTGCTTTACACTTGTGTCAGATAGAGCACTAAATATGCTAGAGAGTGAAAGCCTTTCTAAATATTTCTATCGCGAAAAACCAGTAAAAAATTGAAAAAAAATTATTTTCAAGCACTATCTTTGATAAAAATGTAGTACTGTCAGCATACATTCGCTCTAAAATTTGTACCAGACTTGAATCGATGAGATCTATCATGTGGTATTATATTTAGCCATGTTCAGTCACAGGATGGATCTCTAAGTGGCTAATCAGGCAATGAATTTAGATCAATTGTATCGATCTTGATATCACTATTTCGCTGATATCTTCTTTTCTCTTTTTTTCTTGTCTGAGTTTATAGCTTCTCTATATAAATCTGTGTTGAATNCTCTTTTCTTTCTCTCTATATAAGGACATATATTCCACTCTCTCATTGAACATATACATATCTAAGTTTTGTTATTTGTTTGCTATTGTTTATTATTATTGTTATGTGTGTATGTTGAACCTGCAATAAAAGCATCCTTAACATCTGGATCTAACCATACACCATAACAATTGGCGACCTTTGACATTAACAAGCAAACAACAAAACTTAGATGTGTATATGTCCAATGAGAGAGTGGAATATATGTTCTGATATAGAGAGAAAGAAAAGAGAAAAGATGAGAAAGAGTGAGCGCTCTCTGAGCAGATAATATATACGCCTGGAAAAAATAAGCTTTAGTCTGTATTTTGGGGATATCGTTATCATAGCAGCGTATTTTTAAAAAAATAATGATATATTCTGAAAGAGCGTGAAGTTTTCTATCAGCCTGTATATTTGCCTTTTCGTTTGAATATATGTATTACCAAAATAAATTGTGTGTAATGAAGGCACCCTCATGTTCAGATTCCTCCCACAAGCTTGATTTTGTCGCTGTCTCCAAAATTAGTTTTTAAAAAATTTCATCACTATAGAATCACCTTTTGAAAAAAGTAATTATATATTCTGATAGAGCTTGAAATTCTTCATCACTCTGTATATTTACTTATTTCCTTATATTCATTTATCGAAAAGAAAATTTGAGTACAGTGAAGGCACCGTCAATTGACAAGTACCGTAAATCGTTACTTTTTTTCTTTTTTCAAAATATAGTTACTGTACAAATACATTTCTAAATAAATGTGGAAACCTCGGGCTTATGTCCGAGAGTTATGTGTACTTCAAAAAGTGAATGAGACAAATCAGTCATCCTAGAATGTGTGGATATACAAATTAGCTTGGCAAACCTTTTCTATAAACACTTAAATTCTATTGACTACTGCTCAACCAATAGGATTTGGGGGCGAATACAGCTCAGATTTGAACTCTTCGCCTTAATTTACCCTCAGAAAATCGTTTTTTCTATAACTTGATTTCTATTGGTCAGTGCTCAACCAATAGGGCTTCGAAACCAGTGGAGTACAGATTCGAGTTCTCCGCCCCAGAAAATCTTCAAGCATCACCTCTTATCGGAAGATAGTGCTCTAATTGTGGATCAGTTAGAGCGTGGACAAGAACAGGACCGATTTCCGTTTATTTATCTTTGCAATAGGTGAGCTAGCCTTCTTGTTTCTTTATGTTTTAGACACCATTTTCTAGCTCGTAAAATTCTCTATCGAATGGTATATAATAGTTTGGGTTTTGTTTGGCTATGATAGGAAAATGTTTTTACGAAAGCGGGGATGGATCGATTTTCGCATAGGAAGCCATAGGGAAAAATAAGTATTTTTGCAATAACTCAGGAACGGTTCGGCCAATTCTTTTCATCTTCGAACTCGACCGAGATATTGTTAAGACTGAACTGTGTACAAAATTTCATCGCGATCGGACTCTCCTTTCAAAAGTTATCGTGTAAACGGACGGCCGGACACACTGACCGATTCTAGAGTGTACTCACTTTTTGAGTACACAAAAAGGAATTATTGATTCTGATAGAGCTTGAAATTCTCTATCATCCTATATATTTTTCACTTGCCTTACAATTATGTACTGAATGTGCTGCAACACATAGCTGCAAAATAATTAACAAATATACAGGATGATAGAGAATTTCAAGCTCTATAAAAATCTGTGATTGCTTTTTAAAAATAAATTTTCTCATAAGAATAATAAAGGACCCCGCCGGATTTCATGACCCATCTCGGACCAGATTACCATATATATGATTTCGTAGACCTCGTTGAGGCGCATCGAATGGTATATAAGAAAACAAGTTTTCATCATACTTTGATGTCCTGAGGGCCCTGACACTGGTTATGGCACTTAACGTGTATTATATGGTACCCATAGACATTATGGTCCTTAGTATGTCTTAAGATAAAGCTAAGTAAATTCTTTTTTAAAACTCTTTTCAACAGAGTTCTAGGTAGTCTTCAATTTTCTATATTCATTAGTATTCCTCGTTGCTGTCTTCCTACATAAAAAATAGCCACTTTCGATAGGCCTAGGATATTTATTGATTCTAAGGCATTCCGTGTCATCAACCCTGTCCCACAGAACAAATGGGTACCAACGTGAAACCTTCTCAAAAACTGCCTATTATCTAGCTCTATATATTTCACAGTTAACTTCTTTGGTTACTGCAAGGCCCATTGTCAGATTGTCAATTTAGGGTGTGGGTGTGGGTGGGTGTGGGTGTGGTTGAGGGTCTTTCCCTTATCCGTACACACACATGTAGTCTACACATTGGAAGTTTGTATTATTTTGCGCACTAATAATTCGTCAAGCACTAAATAAAAAGAGGAGTTGGTGTACTATGGGAATTGGTTTTTTCCTACTTATAAAAAGATAAGCATATAGTTAAGGACTCAGGTGAAGTCAAGAGTGCTGATAGCGATACAATAAAATATTTGATAATATTGTGAAAGAAAGTTTTTGAGACACTATTCTGTAGAGCAATAAAAGAGACTGACAGTGAAAACAGTGTCAACTTTCTATCGCCATAGTGGTAAACATCGCTCTTGGTGAAATAGAACCAAGCTCTGATTATAAGAGTAGGTATCTGTGTTCATATGTGATTAGGGAAGTCCGCACAGTATAGAAGTATTAGAGAGAACTTGTGCACACTATACGGCAGAGTTTTTTTTCTTTAACTTACGACCTCAGAACTTTAACCTTTCACTCGGTAACAGACACACAGACATTTGACATTTTGTGCATAGAAGTTCTACGACCTGATATCCTTATATCGCTAATAATTCTTGTAGTCTTATTCGACCTTTAACCTTTGACTCAGCACAAACAGACAGACGCACCCACTGAACATTATATATATAGATAGATGATAGAGAAAACAAGAATGATACCTTGCTTTGAATAGAAAAAGTACAAATGGAAAATTATTACTGATTACTTATTGAGTGAGATCATTCTAGTCATTAAATGTTACTTTGTGTTGGGAAAACTTGTCGATTGCAGACATTCATGTCGGACATTACATAGTCTATCGCAATGCGCAACACTATGTATCGAAAGAGACGAAAGTATATTTACTCTGAACTTAACTGAAATTTTTATTTCCTTTTTGTCGAGATATATTCATCGTCATGAAAGACAAATCACAATCTTTTAAAACTCATTATGCAATAGTAAGTGTAGTTTTTAATCCAAACACAAGGTTTTCTGTCTGACAATACTTACAGATGCTCCTATCATATAAAAGACGCTTATCAAGATTAGCGTCTTCGGTATGTCTATGATTGATCGTCTTTTCTTTTATTCTTTGTTATATTCATCTTTCTTGATATTTACCTTTCTTCTTACATATGTCTGATGTAAATTTCTCTTCCTTCATTTTTTTCGATAACCTTTTATTTGCTTCTTTTATCATGATAAATATTTTTGCACTCGGGTTTTTCTTCAATAAAATCTGCAAATTGACTGTACTTTTGTTAAAAGGAGCTATAAATTGTTTTATATGTGATGCAAGATAAGATTAAGTTTTCCATTAAATATGGCTACTAATGCAAAGTAGTATGATACCATGTCGCGCGAGACTAAGGAGAGAACACTGCTGAAGGATACTGTTGATATACCATCATAAATGCTTTCATCCAGCAATTAATATCGCTTCTGATAAGATACAACCCAATCAGCACATTTTGTTTCATTTGGATTCTAAGTGTTATAAAAAAAATGTCAGCATATAAGAGAAGAAAAAGGCGCATACTGCAACCCGAAAGACAAGATAAATAAAAAGACCTTTTCATTTTATTGAAATATTACATCTATATATTCTGTTATTAATACATACTTGCCTCTTGCTTATTTTCATCGGTAGAACGAACGAATTGGCAATAATCCGTTTGTGAAAGTGCATGGCAACGGCGGCACCACCAGTTAACATATCCAGTGCAACCAATGCCATAATTTCAACACATTCGTCTGATGATGCGTCTAATTGTGAAAACAAGGAAGCCATAATTCTTCTCTGGTACGACCCGAGGATTGATTCAAGTTCAAATACGGAAACCACTATACAATGTTTACGTGACATTCATAATCATACGGTGGTTCATAAAGATTTGGAAACGTGTATTATCTATATTCAATCAATCCAATACAAAAAAGTCTTCCTGATCATATCTGGTGCGTGTGCATCTGAATTCTTACCACACGTCGTGAATCTGTGTCAAATCGAGTGCATATTCATCTTCTGCAAGAAACCGACTAGATATGAACATCTCAAAGATGAAAATTCAAAAATCGTCGGTATTTACGTAGATTTAAATTCATTGTGTGACTCTATCTTAGAAGAAATATCGACTTTCGAGAAACAATTAGAGACCTTTACCTTCTTCGATCAAAATCAACGCATAGCGAAAACCTTGTCCAAAGAATCAGCTGAGTTTCTCTGGTTTCAACTTTTTCGATATGTTATTCTACAACTTCCACGCGATCAGGAAGCCAAAAAACAAATGCTCGACATGTGTCGCAACTATTATCGAGGCAACCTACAAGAATGTAAAATGATTGACGAATTTGAACATCATTATCAACCGAACGAAGCCATTCAATGGTACACGAAACAATCATTCATTTATAAACTTGTTAACAAGGCACTGAAGTGTGAAGACATTGATATGCTGTATGCGTTTCGATTCTTTATTGGAGAGTTATCGGAAAGTCTCAGTCGTGAACATGAAAATATGGCTTCATCTGGAAAACGAGCATTGACAGTTTATCGTGGAGGAAAACTATGTGATAATGAACTGAAAAATATCAAAGATAATATCGGTAAGGTCATCTCGATGAATGGATACTTGTCCACCAGCCGACATCGTTCACGGGCGCTGAGATTTGCTACAAAGTTGACGAAACGCACCAATGTTGTTCCAGTTCTATTCAAAATTCGGGTGCAACAACCGGATAACGGTATCGTCTTTGCTGACGTAGATAAATTCAGTGAGTTTCCCGCCGAAAAGGAAGTTCTGTTCGATCTAAACACTGTATTTCGCATTGACAGTATTCGAAACGATGCTGATGTGAAAGTAATCAAAATGAGCGCATCAAATGAAGGACAAGCCATCACGGAAAATTATATCCAAGTGATACGTTTATTAGCTGCAAATATGAGCGTTGCTGTCATGTTCGGACGTCTAATGTGCGATATGGGTCAGTATGAGAAGTCTCTGAAGTATTTCGAAAAATTAATGGCTAATCCACATGGTGAAGATCTGGCATGGATCGAACACAATATTGGCCGAGCACTGGATTTCAAAGGGGAATGGGATGCTGCACGAACATATTATGAAAGCGCCTACAAGCGAATGATGAGTGTCGATCCGCCGCGTATCAAGGATTCAGCGTATGTACTCACCAGTATTGGTTGCGTCTTTCGCAAAGAAGGTAGATTTCAAGAAGCACTTAAATCATTTCAAAAATCGTTGGCAATACGTGAGAGATGCTACTCTTGTGACCATCTTGACATTGCCGAAAATTTAAACAATATGGGCTGTGTTCTTCGTCGACTCGGAAAGTATGAAGAAGCTAGAAAGTTCTTTCAAAGGGCATTGAATGTGCGAGAACAGCATTTTCCTAACGGCCATTCCGATATTGCTCAGAGTCTCAACAATATCGGTACCATCCTTGAATCACAACGGCTTGATAGAGATGCTCTCTCCTACTTTGAAAGAGCGCTCACGATGCAGAGGCAGTTTTTTGTTGATGATCATCCTGACATCGCTCATACTCTTAACAATATTGGTCGAGTTCACAAGACAGCAGAGAATTTTGAGAAAGCACTCGAATTCTATCAAGAAGCATTAAAAATACGACAGAAATGTTATTCATCTGAACATCCTGAGATTGCCGATAGTCTCAATAGCATCGGTTGTGCTCTACTTGGTCAAAATAAATTTAATGAAGCCATAGGTCTCTTTCAACAATCTTTAGCAATACAAAAGAAATGTTATCTCATTGGACATCCCGACATCGTTCAGAGTCTCAACAATATGGGTTGTGTTCAAGAGAGACAGAGAAATTATGATGAAGCGCTTCAACTCTACGAAGATGCACGAAGAATGCGAGAGAAATGTTATCCTAATGGTCACCCGGATTTTGCCGATAGTCTGACACACATCGGTCATGTCTATGAAATGAAAAGACGATATGAGAATGCCCTCAAATTTTATCGAGAGGCAGTCATGATACAAGAAAAATATTATTCTGGTGGTCATCCGGACACGGCAAAGTATCTAAAACATATTGGTCGTGTACTGACGACACAGGAAAAGTATAACGAAGCCTTAGAAACTTTTGACCAAGCCTTAACAATACAAGACATTTCTTTCCACGACGGTCATCCCGAGACCGTTCATATTCTCACAAGCATCGGTGAGATTCTCACAAAACAAAATAAGTATAACACGGCCCTTGAAATCTGGAAACGAGCACTTACGATGCAGCAAAAGTATAAACAAAATGATCATCCTGACACTATTCATATAATCAGTCGTATTAGTGGAATTGAAACAATATTAGCAAAGCATTGTGAAACTGACACAACTGTGCTGTAACAAACAGTATCACTTTTGTAATTATTTTTTTTGTTTCGAATTACTTTTTTTTATAGCTGTTCTGCTTTTTTATGCCTGCTATTCGTATCCCATGTCTTGTCCTCTATATAAGCTTTTGTTCCACACATAAGAGGAATAACTCTTTGCGTATAAACGTTCAATGAAGTGGGCAAATCTCTTCGTTTCTAATACACATTTCATTTCTTTGTAACATATTGATAGCTTATTTGAACCTTCAATCGATCGTTAAATCTAACACATTCTCTCTCCTATCGATTTGTTATATTTTGTGCATTTTTATTAGATGGAGTGGATGCATGAAAGCAACGTGCTAATTATCTGCTTGAATGTCCTAAAAAGCTAATTTTCAGCTGTAGACTATAATGTCCGACATGGGTCTATATTTGTAACCCAACCTGACTCATCGACTTTTAGGCCAGACTCGATCCGATCCGAGTCCGACTCTGAGATTGACCACTTTTTTCTTTCTCTTGAGACAATCAATTTTTCCATCCTTTTTTTTCTTTCACTTAGAAGTTGGAAACAAAAGATATGCCCTGGATATTTTGCCGTTGGAGTAGCACGATTATGTGTAAGGGTTTTTTTTTCTTTTTTGTCTTTCTTTTCTTATGTGCATAACCTATGACCTTTATACCACCATTAAAAAGACAGTATGCTCACTGTGCATTGTTGTCGGATGCCAATAAAGAAAAGTTGGTGAATCAAAAGAAAAGATTGTGCGACACATAACTTCTTGTACTAGTAAGCTTTTCGACGCTCTCTTATAGAACTGTTATATGAAAACATTCGAAATACTTGTTGTATCTGCAAAATATTCACACTTTAGTCCAACCCAAAATCTAAACCTTTTTTTAGAACCTCATCCAACTCTAAGACAACTTTCTTTTTCGTAACCAGATTTGGTTCGGTCCAATCTATCACGAGTCGAACACTGATAGAGTAGCGAATATTCCGTTTCTGAACAAGAAGATGCACCGTAAAAAAGATATAAGGACGGTTCAATACTCTTTCTGAACGTACTCAATATAAGGAAATTGCAGATATTTGTTTATCAAATCATCAGTACGAGCAACATTTGTCACCGTACGATGAATATTTGGAGATTTGGTTGAAAATATTACCATCTGAACACATGAATATCATTTATAGGCATATAAAAGGACTATTTATTGTTCGAGAAACATATAGTATTATGTCAGGGTAACCGTTCAATTCGTCACAGAGTAATTTCTTTGGTTCTGTTCGTTACGAAAAAAAATTGTGGCGATCAATTTGTCATATCTCTTTTAATTAATTTTTTGTTTGTATAACCAAATGAAATAAAATAAAATGAAAAAATGTGAAAGATTTATAAAATAAAAGATTATAATAAAGTTGATGACTTCAAATTGGGAAAACGGATCAATAGCAAATGTTAATCAGGTGTAGTCATAACAGAGCTAAAGTTCATGAAGAATAATTAGATTTGTCAGGCGGTTAATGAATTTCAACATAATCTAGACCAATGATAACATTGATTCAATGTTCTTAATTATGCAACCAGGATAAATAAAAATATATATTGATAAGGTTGAAAATATCGTTGCTGTACATTCTATTGTGTAGATGTAACTTTCATGGAGGAGCATTGTTTTTCATTTTACAGAAAGGAGTTTTTCGATTTGAGATATTTTGTTTGAAGAGTAGTGTGCAGTAAACGTTGAGATTGAGAAATGAAGTGTATTTTCAATCTCATCAATGCATATTTTTATTTATCCTGGTCACATAATTACGAACATTGGATCAGTGTTATCGTTGGTCTAGATTACGTTGAAATTCATTAACCGCCTGACAAATCTAATTATTCTTCATGCACTTTAGCTCTGTTATGACTACACCTGATTAACATTTGCTATTGATCCATTTTCCCAATTTGAAGTCATCAACTTTATTATAATCTTTTATTTTATACATCTTTCACATTTTTCCATTTTATTTTATTTCATTTGGTTATACAAACAAAAAATTAATTAAAAGAGATACAGCAAATTGATCGCCACAGTTTTTTTCGCAACAAAGAGAACGAAATAAATTACTGCGGCGAATAGAACGCGACGAATTGTACTAGTGCCGATCAATTCGACACGAATATATTATTTGTTTTTTATCTGTTATAGATATCATCAAATTTTTAGATTGATTTCGGATTTGCAAGTGACAAGGAATTTATTTTAAATATTCGTTCTAAACCAAGTGAAATAAGTATTAAAGCAATAAGTGTTTTCTAAATAAATGAAACAAATCTAAAAATTTTCATACTTTCTCATGCTGTCACCTTTTCATTAACACCGACGTTTTGAACGATTTACTATTCAAATATTCCTATACAGCGTGATATGATTGTATAGACTCAATTGTTATTGATAATTCTATACTTGATGAATAAACTTGATTAAAATCAAAGCAAATAGCATTCATCATCGAGTCGTCTAACGTTGGTTTTTTGTTGACAATGTCAGGTATGATAAAGAATCGATGCAGACGCATATATAAGTCGTTGACCATTCACAGGATTTCTCATGGAAATGAACTATTCAACAATTAATATCCTTCGCGTATGCAACGAAATATTGCTTGACATTTAGAGCAAACTCAATAGTATTGAGTTATATTATATTCATTCATAGATACCAACCAAAAACTAAATCAATGGACTCAACATACTATCTTTACACGGTCTGTTGACTTAGTCATAATATCATCAAATGAAGATAACGATCGAAGTTCTAATTCAATACTCGAGCAATTTTGGTATGATATAATACTTTGAATTTAATAGAATATTGAATGCCGTACTCCTTGATTGATTATCAATGAAGCGTGTTCGTCGTATGAGAAACTATCCTAAACTCCATAAGCTTACAATTGTTTTTCTTCAATTTGAAATAGCATCTCGTATTTTCAATGATATGCCATTTGTTCTCTCAATATTTTAATGTCGAAGCTAAAATGATTCGTATATTTACTGTTTATATTTACACGACAACCAATAGATTATCTAAAGCTGTGAAATGCAATAGTTTCCTCAAAAGATAAATATCGATATTCTTAAATATCAAACAGTGAAAGAGTACCATCATGAACATGCATGTGATATTAATCTACACTTGTATTTCGTTGAATTTTTCTCAAACCAATCTTCAAGAAACGATGATTAGAGCTGAAAAATGTCAGCGTCTGACATCAATCATGACTGTTTTATAATTGGTTCTGTAATTCAACGAATGTGTTCGTGAAGAGGAAAGCAAGAACAAAAAATAAATGCATCATTTGAATCCCGGTGTATGTATTGCAAACAAAATATCTCTGTAATGTACTATTCTATTATATATATTAAGGTTTTTGCAAAACAGCTATGGTCACATGTAATTGTCTATTTATGGGAGCTTTTGTCATCTGTTGATAATCTTCAAAAAATTATCAGAATAAAACCAGTATTTGTGAAACACAACAGACGACATTTATTCGACAAACACTGTCATGTTAACAAGTATCATCTTCTTTGTTTTTTCATTACCATTTTTTGTCTTTGGATGTGGTATTACAACACATATCGAAGTATCACATCGTGCACAAGACCTTTGGTTACATCAACCTATCTATCGAAATTATATTATTCAACATCAAGATGCATTACAAGGTGGATCTCCATATCCTGATGTTATGTATGATAATGTATGTTATCGTGGTACTTTACATCAAATTGCTGAAGATACACATTGGTAATAAAAATCATAAGATGTAATACAGTTTTCTTACTAAATAAATTTTTTAGGTATCCATTTATGAAGGTTGCTATTGAATATATGCGTGATCGATATCCACCACCTTTGCAAGCAGATAATATTCAAGGACAAAAATTCCTTGCATTTCTTCTTGGTGTAGCATCTCATCAAATAGCTGATGCCGTATGGCATGGTAGTTTAACAGGCTGTCCAAATGGATTTATTGATGCAACAGCTTGGGAAAGTTTCAATGGAGATGAACAAATGGCACATTCAAGTGTTGATTCAGGTGGCGATAGTGTTATTGATTATGAATTACCTATTGCTTATATCGGTAAAATTTCGCTGTATTATTTTTCTTTTGTCGTTATTTTTTTGTATTCTATAGGTTTAACTAATAAATGGTATGTGCCAAGTATCGAATTACAAGAACTTTATAAAAGATATGCTATTGAATATGATTCACCATTAGAAACAAATGCAACAGCTGAACGTGTTCAAGTATGTTCTGATTTAATGTTTGTTGGACGATTTGCTGATGCTTTATTTCTTGGTATTGAATATCCAAAATATTCTTATAATGATACATTTTTACTTGATTATCTTTATGAATATTATCATGGAGGTTTATTAAATATGGCTCATCAAACAGTTCGATATTGGGATCAAATTATAGCCATGTACGAAAAAGGTACTGATATATGTCAAATACCAAGTAATAATCCATATTATTTAAATTGTTCAATATCTCATTCAATTACATATGAACAACAACAACAATCAATAACATATATTCGTTCGAAGCCATCAAATTATCTTCCATTTTCTAGTCATTCTTCTTCATCGTCACCACCAACATTACAATATAATGAAATTCACACAGGTGTCATATCAAATCAAAGTTATGCATCATTCGGTCATACAACACTTTTTGGTGATTTTAATAATGATAATTTAATTGATCTTGTTATATCTGCATCTGATTATTATAATCTTGGTTGTTCACAAGGTGGTCGTGTTTTTATTATTTATGGAAAAAAAGATCAACCTCTTATTCCAGAACACAATATCAGTATTATTGAACAAATAGCTGATCAAACATTAATATCACCTGATTGTGATGGTGATCGATTTGGTACTGGATTAGCTATTCTTGATTGGAATAATGATGGTTTCAATGATCTTGTTGTTAGTAGTCCATCACATGGATATGGTTATCGTGGTGTTGTATTTATTTTTGCTGGTAGTAAAGATGGTCTTGAAATAAAACCATTTCTACGTATTGATGGTGTTAATGAACATGATGCTATTGGATTTGAATTACATACAGGACATCTTGATAATGATAAATTATTGGATTTAATTATTACAAGTCCTTATGCACAACCACATGGTTATGATCAACCACAACAAGGAGCTGTTTGGATTTTTCTTAGTTCAGATTTTATGAATAAACAACAAATATCTGATCGTCAATTAACAATTAATAATGCATCATTTACAATCTATGGTGAATATCCTAAATCAAAATTTGGTTATTCTCTTCAAATAATTCCATCATCATGTATGAGTCACATAACATCATCTCCAGTTATTTTAATTAGTGCACCAGCTAATCAAGGAAAATTATATTTTTATGCTATTGAATCTCAACCTCGTCTTTTATTTGTCATGGTAAATACTGAAAATCATGCACATTTTGGACAAAGTTTTTCTGTTCGGAATGATAAATGTTGGTTAGCAGTTAGTTCACCAACACAATCAAATGATTGGTATGGTGCTGTAGATATTATACCATTGATGAATATTTTCAATCAACAAAAACTTCATCTTGATCTCAATGATTATCCAGTTCTTATTTCTATTCATGGAGATCGAATATTTGAACGTCTTGGTACTAATATTCAATGGACACCAGAAGGTGATTTAGTTATTTCAGCTCCATTAGGAAAAGGAAAAATATTACCATTACAATTAGAAAAATCTGAAGGTTTTGTCTATATTGTACCTGGTAATCGAATTCCAACTCGACCTGATCCAAAAATTCACTATATTAGTAAAATGAGTTCGACTATATATGTTGCTCAAAATCGTCTTAATCGATTTGGTACTCGTATGAATGTTCTTTCTTCAGAATCTATTTCTTATTTAGTTGTTTCATCACCTTTTACTGCTTTATATGATGATGTTCGTCTACCTGGAATGTTATATTTTCAACAATTAAAACAATGATTTTTTTTTCTATTTTATTTTCAAAACAAATCTTCTTAAAAAAAAAAGACTTCTATCAAATTAAGTACTAATAATAAATTTATTTCTAAATGTAACATTGATAGACGATTTTCATAATAATTTACTATCATTAAGCGAAACATTTTGTTTAAAATCTAAAATCTAAAATACTTGTCAATATGTTGAAGAAGGGGAAAAAACTTGATTTACTCGACATTGAGTGAAAAATGAGAATGACAGAAGTTCGATATTTTTTTTGGGCTTACGTGACTATAAAGCAAATCTTATTCCATTTGGATATCCAACAACAATCAGTTGATCATACTCATTAACAAAAACATTCTTAACTAAAAGTAATTTGTATAAAAGTGAATCGTATTGGAAATCATTGTCATGCGATTTTTCTAAACTAATCCTAACAAAAAAAAAAAACAATTTACATATCGAATGAATTTATTAAAATATTGATAATAATAATAATAATCCACTGAACGACTGATATAAAAAGAAATTGAAAGTTTGTTACAAAAATTAGAAAAAAGATTTTTTATATACAATAGAACATTTCAATTCTATTGTTTTGCGCTTTTGAACATTACACTACATTTCTTCAAAAATGTTTATCAACAAATTCCATCTCATACAATAACATTAAATTATCGAGTCGATCATAATAAACATTTGTACTATATACTGCTCAAATATTATCTTATACTATTAATACACATGGCAAGACAAAGCTCATCTATTAGTGGTCAAGACATCAATGTTCAACTATATGTTCCTAAAGATTCTTTTACTATCCAACATCAGAATGTATCATAATTATTTTATATCCACCTTATTCTACAGATAATGTACTACGTATTTTTTCAGATGTTCGGTGTAATTGATAAATTTCATCAATCAAACGATTTCTAATCATTAAATAGAAACCAAAATCAAGATAATACATTTTTAAATCAAAGATTATTTGACAAATATCTTTAACAAACGTCTTCAAACAAATTCATTTTGTGTAATTAAACATGACTACTAACTCAAATATTTGCTGGAATAAAAAGATGATTAACTCTTTCCGATAGGATTTTATGTGCCAAAGTTATTACCTTTGATATGCTCTAAGTAAATAATCAATAAACTTCATTTGATAGTACAATCAACCAGTACATCTCAATTTCTTTCGTGTCCACATATCGAAATACTTACAAAAATACTCAATAGAGTCTGTTGGATCCAAAATTTTCGAATCCAAATTCGATTGTGCTTGGGTCCAGGTTCCGGGCCAATCAAATGGGCTTTAATGTCCATACACACACACACACACACACAAACAACCATCATGTCAATAATTTTATCGTGATAAAGATATATTTTATTCGGAAATAATATACGCATTACAAACATCAATATAGAAGTATACAAAAAAACAAAAATTAAATTATTATATTTTATATAATGGCAAAAAAAAGACCCAGTTTATTGCAGATATTTATTTTGTCATGAAACGTGCATTCATTGTAATCAACGTTAATAAAATATCTGTATCAACTAAATAACGTTTATCTTCTGGTAAAAGACTGGATAATGTTTGTGTATCTCCTTCATTTTTCTAAAATAAAAAAAGAAACAACAGAAAAAATTTTTACATATGAAATATGTTTAAGAATTTCTATACTTTGAGTGCTTCACGAACGATTTCTAACGTTTCATCACCGAGAATTTCACGTAATTGTTTTTCTTTTTCTTCATCTATTTTAACACGATGTTCAAGATTATCTTCATCTTCTTGATTACACCAAATATCATCATCATCATTATCATCATCAATTTCTGTTGTTAATTCTTTTGATTTATCTGTTTTTATCACAGGTTCACTTGCTGAATGTTTTGTTTTATTTTCGTTTTCATTTTCATCATCACATAATTGACTTTGTAAAGCTATTGTTAAAGATTGCATATCATCTTCATCATCAGATTCAGACTTGTCATCACTTGTACTTGAATCACTACTACTCTTAGTAGTAGTTGTTCCTGTTGTTTTCTTTTTAGTACTTGAAAATGATGGTTCTTGAGCTGATTGAATAATATCAGTTAAACTTCGATTTAAATTTCTTGATTGAACCAATGTTTCTTCAGGTAATTCATCGATTTTATGTAATTCAGGATTTGAAACTGTACGAAGAAGCTAAACAAATAATTTAACTTGTCAAGGTAACGATGATAACAATAATTCAAGAAGACTATATTTTTCTTAGGAAATATCGATCCGACTCATTTTAGTCAGAATAGTTAGATCACCTAAAATATGTCTTATTATATGAGCGAAAGAGTTTGAGAAAAATAAAATTATTATACATTTCACTAAAAAATAGTAATTGAAGTTATAAATCATTTCAATAGATCGTATGCATAGGATAGAGATGTGCAATTAGCAGCTCTGAATACTGACAAAGGAACCTTTCGAATTATGTAGTGAGCAAATTACAATGACGTATTATAGCAGCAGTAGATCTCAATGAGGTTTAAGAATTTTTGATTTATCGTTGTCTTTTTAAAATTTTGATCAACAATAAAGTATAGAAGAAAAAACAATTTTAAAGCAGTTCATGAAATTTTCATCATTTTGCTTAAGATAATCTACAATACTCTAATGACTTTTCTTATTTCTTATGAAATATGAAAGGAAAATGTTCAATTTTCTCGTTGTCTACTTCAAGACTCTCGATAATTTTTAGAAGTGCAATGAGCTCAAAATTTGACAGAGAGGTTTTCCGATAACGACTTGATATTTTCGCTGATGCAACGTAAAAAGTAGAATGAACTACTAACCCACTTAATTCTCTCTCCTATCGAGACCTATGGTTTACTTCAGCATTCATCAACAAATTATGTTTCATAGCATCAAATTAAACCATATGCACTGAAATTACGCTCATAAATACATGCCATAGTTAAAAGAGTACTCGATCAATTTGGATTCATACGTTTGCCTTTCTTCTTGAGATACCCAATGGTTATAGAGAGTCAGTTCGATACAGATAGTGACAAGCTGGTCCAAAAACCAATTTTCTGTTTTTGACCGGGATCGACCGAGACAGAGACCAAAAGCGACTNCTGTTCTTATTTCTTGTGAAATATGAAAGGAAAATATTCAATTTTCTCGTTATCTACTTCAAGACTCTTGATAATTTTTAGAAGTGCAATGAGCTCAAAATTTGACAGAGAGGTTTTCCGATAACGACTTGATATTTTCGATGATGCAACGTAAAAAGTAGAATGAACTACTAACTCACTTAATTCTCTCTCCTATCGAGACCTATGGTTTACTTCAGCATTCATCAAAAAATCATGTTTCATAGCATCAAATTAAACCATATGCACTGAAATTACGCTCATAAATACATGCCACAGTTAAAAGAGTACTCGATCCATTTGGATTCATACGTTTGCCTTTCTTCTTGAGATACTCAATGGTTATAGAGAGTCAGTTCGATACAGATAGTGACAAGCTGGTCCAAAAACCAATTTTCTGTTTTTGACCGGGATCGACCGAGACAGAGACCAAAAGCGACTGGTCGCATTCATGTCTACTTCGATATCATAAGAGAGAAAGCACTGTTTTATAGATAATAATTGTTATATTATAAATTAAATTTCTCTTACTCGTCTGTTTTTAGCATCAAAACGTCCTGTAGTTAAACATTCGGCGAGTTCGTCCTTGTCTGCTATTATTGTAGTTCTATGTTAAAATTAAATAAAAGAAAAATTGAATAATCAGTTCTTATTTATTTATTTTTTTTCTTACTTTAATTCTTTGTTTTGGTTGGTTGAAGATTTCAATGTTTCATTCAATTCTTCCACAACTAGATCATTTTCTATGGGTTTCTTTGATATATCAACTGTAGGATTGGAAGAAGTAACTGGCTTTGAACTACTTATGATATAAGTTTCGTTTTTTCGATTTGGATTAACTCGATTTATTAATGCTTTCAAACTAATATCCGATGTATCATTATTCGTTGTACTTGTCATTGTATTATCATAAACATTCGCATGTTCAAGTACATTAATAATTGTACCTCGTGGTCCACTACCCCATTGTGATCGATTAGGTGTGTTTACATTGCCTATATTCATTGCTTGTCCTTGAATATTTAAATCAGTTAAACATGAATCATTCATTATGGATTGTCGATTCAAAATTGCTGAATCTAGGCGTGGTTGTTGATTCCATTGTAGACGAGATTTTGGTGGTCCACCATGTTCTTGCCAAGCTTCTCGAACACTTCGTTCATTAAGATTTTGTAAAATAGCTTTCCTCTTGTCTTGATCCACACTAAAATAAATCCTTCTTTTTTTGTAAAGAAATAGTTTATAAAATTATCTAAACGTACCTAGGTGGTCGAACACCAATATCATTTAATACTTCGGTTAGATTATTATTAACTGGTTCAATCTTTTTTAAAGCTTCTTGAGCTTGCTTCAGCTAGAAGAAGAAAAAAAGTGACATGTCTGCCTTATTTTTTTTTTTTTTTTTGGTAAATATTTACCTCTTTTTCTTTTTGAGCTATAAGAACCTGTTGATCGTAAGCTGAACGATATCTTTCATCGGCTTGATTAGCAATAGGTGGCTAAATAAATAAAAACAAAATGAAAAAAAATAGATTAAACTCAATAAATCATAATTACTTTATTTATAGGTGGTTTTTTGAATGCAGTTGGTGGTTTACTAACTGCATCTCGTTTACCCAAAAGATTTTTTTGACGAACTTCTTCAATATTTCGATTTATTTCAGCAGCTATATGACCAACAACACCAACATTCGGACTAACAGCAGCAACAGCTCCCTAAAATCGATTATCTTAGAAGGAAGTAAATAAAGTGAAGAATATCTTACGGCGCCATAACCTTGTCCACGAGCTTTGTTCACTTGAGCTTGACGTCTATTTTCTAGAAATTCATTTCTCAGTACTGCCGGTCGACCAACATTTGCACTGAAATAATTACAAATTTTATCTTTATTTATTGCTTCTTAATATTTATAGGTTCATCCTGAAGGCTATGTCCTTATACAATACATTGTCTATGCTATTCAGAGTCACTATGATTGAGTGACAGCGTTGTTCAAAATGTACTAACAGTGTACCGTGTTCCAATTTCAGTACTGTCAGTCATGGAATGACCTTGGACATGGTACTAACGACTATTAGTCTTGAATCATTTGTCCAATAGCATATTGACTATGTTAAAGAATTCAATGAGTTGAAAGAAAAGAGATAACTATCAGGATTATGTTATTCATCTGATCAAGTATATTACAAAAATATTCATATTATCTGATGGTGAATATTTACTGCGTTTATATATTAAGACCTGAATTAATTCTTTTAAATACTAAATCATTAAGTGTCGGAATAATTTATTGTCGATATTATCGAAATAGTACTAAAGATATTTTCAAGATTTTTAATGCTTCATAATAAATTTAACTCTGTAAACTATAATAAATATGGAGAGAAAATGAAATGCATAAGAAAAAAATATATATCACGAGACAATGCTTTAGTTTTCATAAATATTTACCCTGGTGTCGGACGTAAATTATGATTGCCGACAACTGGTTTTTGATATACTTGAATATGAGGATTAGGTTTTTGAACTTGATTAACTAAAATGCAAGATTTTTAAAAATAGATTTCTAATAGTTACAGAACGTTGTCTCAAAAACCATGATCATATGTTAAATATGTATAACTCTATAAATCAATCAAGCTTAATCCAATACTTTCCATCTGAGAGAAACAAGTTGTAAGTTTTTTTCTTTTTGGTTTGATATTCTATATTATTGTAACATTCATAAATGCTTACAAGGAATATAATGATAAATCAAAAGATAGTAACGAAAGCAAAAGAGAAGGCAAGCAATGCAATGAAGAAATATGGTGTATGAAACCGATCTCACAGAAAAGAAAGAGATCGGAGGAAGGATCAAAGGATCATAGCCTGTATTCTACACTAGTGGACATGGCTGTTTCGTGAATAGTGCCATGAGCGAAAGGAAGGGAGAAGATATGACTCTACGAGAGTTAATTAACGAATTCTAGCTGGATTAGAAGTAGTGGATGGTGCTTGGTCATTAATCTTTTGACCTTCTTCATCAAAACGAAGTGACCAACACTGTTATTAGCTAATTGATAATAATTATTCCACAAAAAAATGTCTTCTACAAAACGGTGGGAAGCCTAAATCAGGAGAATGTATATTGTTCAATTTCCTCGAGATATATCGTTTGACATAGTTTTCGGCCCGATCTTCTTGTGCAAATAAGACAAGATCTGCCACACACACGAATAGAGCACGGTGAACTAGACAAATTATTGCTCTAAACTTTTTTTCAAGTGCTTTTTGTTAAGTTTGAAGAAGGAAAGGGAAAACCTAGGCAAAATGGAGAACGATGTCAGCAAAGAAACATCTTCTCAATGCTTTCTTAGATAGGCATCTGTTTACAGTAAGCTTTAAAGATAGTTTGCTAGTCCAGGTAAATTCGAAGTACTTAAATGAGTTCACTATCGTTATCTGCTGACCTATAACATATAAATATCAACTCTAGGCTTTTTAGTTTGAGTGTAAATTTTTATTTTTATAGATAAGATAAATAAATAATCTTTAAAAACAATCATCACTTGCTATCAATACAAAAAATATTGCACTTATTCAGTATCATAAAACAATATCTAACGTTTCTTTTCTCTATATTTGCTTGAGTTTATATGGTTATGATGTATTTTAAATCATTCACAATGTCTCACAACTGTTTGAATAGTATTCGTGAGACAGTTTTTGAAAAGATCGACTAACTGGCACATTGTTCGAAAAAAAAAATATTCCTGTAACTGAAAAAACTTTAATAATTGATATAATGAAAATATCATACTGTTTCAAGATTCTAACTATAATTAGCTTCGACATTGTTGAATTTCTTTTGTAAGAACATATCAAAACGGATGCTAATAAACTATTTGTGAGATATACGCATGATTTGAAGCCTATCGTAATCATATAAATCGAAGTAAATATAGAAAAAAAAAACAAGCGTTACATATTATTTTATGACATTGAAACAATGTGAAATATTCATATTTACAGTCAGGAATAATAATCTTTTATAATCATCTATGAATTTTATCTTTAAGAATAAAAATTTACAGCTTTCTTCTCTCAGACAAAAAAGTATTGAACTAAGTTTGATTAATAGTGAAGTTCTATGTATTTAAAATATGATCATGACTTTTAGAACGTTCTGTACATAGATACTTTTATTCCATTGATCCATATTTCGTTCTCCATCAACCATTTTCTGCTTATGTTGATCTAATAGCTCATGATACTGATCATAATTACCTGCTTTTGCTGCACTAGGAGTCGGCGATGCCACAACCTATATTTTTTTTAAAGAAAGTAAATAAAATATTATATTACATGAATTAACATACTTGTTCTCTAGCTGATGAAGGAGTAGCTACTTGATTCATTTTAGGCTGTGGAACTACTGGTGGTGTAGCACGTTGGTTATTCATGCCTTGTAGATCCTATAAGAAAAAAAACCCGGTACACACATATACAAATAATAATACTCTTACCGGGCTGCTATAACTTAATAGTAAACGATTACGTTCTCGATCACGATTAATATTTGCTTGTCTGCCTTTTTCAATTAATTCTTGTTGTTTTTTCGCTAAATTTTCTTCCTAAAACATATATATGTAAGTTTTATGATGAGACTTTTTTGTATTTCTTTTAACACACTTCTAATTTGGCTTGTTTCTCTCGTGCTGCTTTCTGTTTGGCAAGTTCTTGACGTCGTTTGTCTATCTCATTTTCTTTATCAACAGATATAATTGGTTTTCGATTAGCTTCACTCAACTTCTTCTCTTGAGATCCTCTGAAAAATGAAATTCATAGCTGTGAAATTATCAATCATTCTTGCTAACAAACCGATTGGCACTAGCAGGAGTTGCAGAGACTGGACGTTTCATAGGTGATGCACCTCCATATGCTTTGACTGGTTCGTGAGGCGACTGTCTTGATGCTGCTGAACTTGGACGAGCAGAACCTGGTGGAGGAGGCGTAACAAATGGTTTTGGAACTGCCAATGGGCGAGGTATTGGCGGTGGATTTGGATGCATAAGATCAACAGATAATCTTTGACCATGTAAAACAGTATGATTAAATTCAGCTTGATGCACCTATATAGTACGGAAAATGAAAAACACAGAGTCGTCAATAAGAAAACTATACTTCTTCTGCTAAATGTTTTGGAATATGTCGATAGATGAATGGTTTTCGTAAGATTGTATTAACAGATGGACGTTCACTACACAATAATATAAATCAAAATTTAAATGCAATGTGCATTATTGTAATTTTCCTCTTTTGTTTTACTTGTTTAAGACTACCGAAGCTTGTTGTTTGTTCGATAATAGATATATAATTAGAAAGTACAAACTTCACTGTATCCTTTTATATATTAATGATCAATAACATATAAAGTTCAGAGAACAAAAAATACATACGGAGAAAAAATAGTATAGTTCTTTTACTTCAATATACAGTTTTTCTCTGAACTTTAGGAAGCTGCAGGTTCACGTTTTTGTAGACTCAAGCCCATGTTCGAAAGAACTTGCAACTCCCTATTGAACTTTATGTGTTGTTATTCATGATTAATATATCGAGCAATTAAATATGATTCAATGTTATTTTTCTATTTGGTTAAAAATAACGATTTGGCTGTTTTACAACGATGCCTTGTACTTTCTCACTAGACATCGATAATCAAAAAAGAAACAAAGTGTAATAGTCGCTTAAGCAAGAAAAACATTCAATTGAGATGCACTATAAATTATAATTTATTATTATACCGTGGTTCTCGTTTAAGCATAGATGCTATTAAGGTACGTAAATCGGCACTAAATTTCGACGGAATAGGATTATATGAACCACTAAAAATAAAGAAAATAGAATTTTTGTATTTTGGAAAAATATCAACTATTACCGAACAATTCTCATAATAAGACCATTCATATTATTAGCATCAAACTATAAAGAAAAATAAATTAATTTAATTTTTCATTATGATTCCTTACAGCATGTTTGAGAGTGGTTAATTCATATAAAACGCAACCAAGACTCCAAACATCTGATTTATTATTATATGGTTTTTGTTGACAAATTTCAGGTGACAAATAATATGGTGTACCTATTTGTGTACGAGCAAGTTCACATGTACTATAAAGAAAAAAATCGATTTAAATAAATAATAAGAGAAAAATAATTCCTTCAAGCTTTTACGTATTTAAAACTTTTGAAATTCCAAAATCACCTAATTTCGCTGAACCATCACGTGTTAGAAAAACATTCTGAAATGATAAATTAACAAATAAAAAACTTTCACATGGAAATTTTTCTTTTGTGACATTTACTTGTGATTTAATATCACGATGAAGTACTTTTCTATCATGAACATGTTTAAGTGCTAGAGTTATTTGTACAAACCAATCAACTATTTGATCTTCATTAAATGAAATTCCACGTTGTGCTTGTATACGTGAATGTAAATCACCACCATCACAATAATCCATTATAATAAATAAACTTGCCGCATCTTAATTTAAAACATTTTTTTTTCCCTATCAATTCATAAAAAGAAAAATAATTATTAACTAAATACCTTCAAATGATTCAATATATGAAACAATATATGGATGTTTCATTTCACTGAGAACTTTAACCTAAGAAAAAAAGCAAATATTAATTAAAATTTGAAAACAATGAATTTATTGTTTTTTTTTTTTTTTTGTTTAATTTAACGACATACCTCTTTTCGTGCATCATCACGTTCTTTTTTGGCCATCTATTCGAAGAAATTAAAATTAAAAGATTATTAAAAATTAAATAAAAATTTACTTTAGCAATTTTTATTTCTTTCATAACGAATTTTTTTTCTTCTTCTTTCGATTGAACAAGCCATGCTTGACCAAAAGCTCCAGAACCGATCAACTTTATTTTATTGTATTTCTCCATTTATTCAAATATTTCTTCAAATTAAACTAAGAATAAAAGATTATTGACGTCAATATAAAATAATCATGAATCATCTGGATTTTCAACCATATTCGAGCATTTTACCATCGATACAACCTCTAACATATATACTGAAGAAAAAAAATCAACAGTAGCGACCTCAAAAGTTTAATATGATGGACCAACCGTTCGAATCGATGGCGTGTCACTTAATCAAACAGTTCTAGTGGTTGGCATTAACATTTTCTTTTGATTACAGCACTTTCAATCGTTTTTACTTACCAAAATGCTTGATATCGAATGGCCATTTCCAACTCATGTGGTAATTTTTTTTTAAAATTATTTTAATTATTCTTCAAAATTTTCTATTTTTAAAGGACTTTCATGGTCAAAAAATGGCTGAAAGACTTTTTCAAGTCATTATTGTTCTTTTTGGCGTAAGAGTTTTTATTCCATTTATTTTTAGTTGATCTAATAGTTTTTATTATAGATTATTGGTTTTTTTGCTGGTTATATGATGCAACAATTTAGTATGACTATTTATAGTGTTCTTTTTGGAGTTTTGGTTTCTGCTGTAGTACGTAGTTTAAATTATGAATAGAATAAATATTTATTTTATTTTCTTTGCAATAGTTAACATTACCACCATGGCCAATGTATCGTAATAATCCAATTGAATGGCAAAAACCAATAGATTCAAATAAAGAAACAATTACAAATAAAAATGTTTCATCAGCAAAATCACCAAAGAAAGATGCTCGAAAACAAAAAGGAAAAAAAGATGAATAGAGAAAAAGAAAAATTTTGAATATTTTTTCGTTATTGTTATTGTGAAAAATAAAAACGGATCGTATTGGAAAAGAAGAATATATTGTATCTGATATACTTATAAATGAATTACACGCAATGATGTAACGCTTTTGAGCGCCTCCTTGAAGCACATATTGGTCTTATATTTTTTGACTTGAAATTTTATTTCTGACAAGGAAAGATGCCCAAGTGATAGATTACTTTTAAGCTAAAACTATATTCAATCGATAGGGTATAAGTCAATATCTTACGAGGGAAGGTCCTCAAGTGATTCACCGCTTTGGGCTCCATATTTTGCCCATAAGGAGGGGTCTTGTAGACTAGAAAAAGCCTAAGAGGATATGGGCCCATATTACGATTTACCTGAGATACTCAAGTTTTACCCAAAATTCCCTGTGGGATCTTGATTTTCCAGCAAAATCATATTTTCGAATTTTGAGCTGAAACCTTGTCCAGATAAAGCCCTCAATTAGACTAGCTCGTAAAAAAAATGTCAGTACTTTTGGACATAGTATTACTGAGATATGAATTTTTCAAAGTATTCATGTTTTATACAATATCAATCGAAAAGCGTCTGTATTTTGGAAAATTCATATCTCAGTAATACTATGTCCAAAAGTACTGACATTTTTTTACAAGCTAGTCTAATTAAGGGCTTTATCTGGACAAAGTTTCAGCTCAAAATTCGAAAATATGATTTTGCTGGAAAATCAAGGTCCCACAGGGAATTTTGGGTAAAACTTGAGTATCTCAGGCAAATTGCAATATGGGCCCATATCATCTTAGGCTTTTTCTAGTCTACAAGATCCCTACTTATGGGCAAAATATGGAGTCAAAAGCGGTGAATCACTTGGGGACCTTCCCTCGTTAGAGTGATTCGAGCTGCCGAACCATGTTTACTGAGATTTCAAATATTTATTAGATTTTTCCTGTAGAGCCCCCATTTTCAAGTGTAATCATACTTTTGAATTTCATTCTGAAAAACAAAAGTCCATTAGCTCGAATCACCGAAGAGTATTTACTTACGCCCTACCGATTGAATATAGTTCCAGTTTAGAAACGGTTTACTACTTGGAAAACTTTTCTCGTGAATAGTTTTCATGATTGTAATAGTATCTTAAAAGTTTCAGTCAATACATGTCTCACGCATGCATTCAAAAGCTATGAATCACTTCTAATGGTTTCTCTGTTAGTTTAGGAATTAATTGGAAAAATAAAATAACTTTAAAAACATATCTTATAAAAAATAGATGTGCATATTTTCAATGGTAGAATAATGAATGACAAGTTTAGTTTTATAACATTGTTAAAAATTTATTTATTATATGGCAAAACAATAATGAAATCATTATATCTCTGCAAGAACTGAATCGTTTGTATTACGGTATTCATTGAAGTTGAGAGTAGTGTGTACAGTCTACATGTAGAAAATTTTATTTGGTTTCGTCATTCAATAAATGTTTACGGTTCTCAAAAAAAAAGTTATGCATTTCAGTGTAGTTCAAAATTATTGTTGCAATTCATAGAATACTGAAGTTTTACATTTTATCATTGCCACTGTCTGTCTTCAATCTCAAAATCGTTTCTACTTGCAAACAAAAATGGAATATTTGGTTGAATTCATCAAGTTTTTAGACGTCATCATTAGCAACCAAATGAAATATGACATCATAATATAAATAATAACTATAAGCGTCATTGTATATGAATCATTCTCAATATACATGAGAAGATAATATGATTAAGTGTCACACACTTCCGCTCTTAAGAATTATTGAAAGTGAACTTGATGTATTGAAATAGTTCACTTTAAACTTTAAAACTTGAACTGTCTTAGGTCTAAATACAATTTAATACGCATTAAATAATAGAAAACATCAAATGAACATGTTTATTCTAGATTCTCATCATTTCAACCTATAAGTAGTGCTCTGCGGGAATGGCGTTTCTTAATTTTTCGTTTTGCTTAGTGCTTTTAAAATTCCTATTACGACTTCATTTTTTTTATTTAAGAAAAACTATCATTACTAAACACTAGCTTCTATCAACATCGTATTTCATCTAACGTCATATGGTCTTAAATAATAAAAAAAATAAGATTTTCATTGAAGGTAAATTTTAGCAAAAATAAATAAATTATTATTTATACATTGCAATTTTTCAACATTAAATTAAGAAAATTAATTCCTTAATTAATTGAAACATTGAAAAGAGACAAACACTAGAACATCAACAACGCCATTGAAAAAACGAAAACATTCAAAATGAGAAGATAACTATTATACTATATTGTGATATAATCTCGATAATAGTCTTTTTGAAGATGCACATGACATAGAAAATAATAATTATGATAGTTGAATAACAATTTAATGAATAAAGAGTGTCTCATAAGTTTTAGGCCTCAACAGAGATTACTTTACATGTAAGCAAAGAGTGATTCCTACTTAATTATATCTATATGAGCTTCGAGTTCTTAATACAATTTTTTAAATGACATATTATTCGATGACATTATCTCTTTTAGTAATAGTGATATAAATAGAAGAAATGCGATAATTAAGGTGCCGGTATAGAAGATTGCCACACTCACACTCAAAATACTACGTATATCTATGTATAATTGTATTACGATACATATGATTTATTATCGCCTTTCTTCTGTTTATGTCACTATTACTAAAAAAAGAGATAATGTCATCGAATAAAATAACATGCTATTTAAAACATCATCCGAAATACTTGAAGCTCACCTAAAATATACTTGGGTAGGAATCACTCTTTGTTTACATATAATCTAACTTCCGTTTGAATTATAGTTAACAAAATATATTTTCATTAATCTTTGAAAATATTTTTTATTTTTATTTCCTTATTGAAACGAATATAAACACAAGAAAGAAGGAAAGAAAACTTTCATATTAGAAATTAAAAGACGTAAGATTAACAACACATAAATGAAAAATAACTGACTAAATACAATCGTAAAATATAGGTTCTATATAATGAAAAAATACACACGCATGCAAACAGAATATTTATTCTCTTAGCGTTTTCGTGGTGGTCGATTAGTTGCTGATGCTGAATTTGTATTCATACTTCGTTCTTCATCAAAATCATCATCAGTTAATGCAGCCGATGCAAAACGTGGTGTTGTTGCACGAATGATTTCATCAACAGGTGCATTACGATTTTCATATAATAAAATATTTAATGTTTCTTCATAAATTCTCGCTTCGAAAAATTCAACCTAATATTAAAAAAAAAGAAATTTAAATGAACATTTTTGTTTTTGTTTTTCGAACTTTATTTTGTTTTCGTTCAGTTGCATAGACAATAGATGTACAACAAACTTCAGCCATTTTTTGTCCATTACCATAAAAACTCCAACAACAAATTTCTTCACTACCAGTTACATCTTTTATAAATAAAATTCTATTATGTAAACGAATACTTAATTTATCAAATAATTCAATATTTTTCATTAACATTTCATCTGATGATCTAATAACAAAGAAAAGAAAAAGTAACTTTATAGAAATATTTTTCAAAGATATTTACTTACGCTGTATATGAATATTTATTATTATGTCGATTAATTGCTAATTTAACAATTGGTTTTCGTACTGTAGCGACAATATTTGGTAATTCTTTTGCTGATGTTAACATAATTACTTTACAACAAGCATCTGTATCACCGGCATTTTTTCTTGAACGCGTTCTTAATTGTTGTTCAATGAGATCAATAAGAGATTCTATACAATAAAATTTTGCTTCATTCAATAATTCATTTAATGTTTGAGTACATTCAGGTAAATTAATTGTTCCATCACGTAAATAATTTAATATAACATTAAAATGTTTACCATCACGATCGATTAATACCCAACCTAATTACAAAACAAAGAAAATAATATTTTGATTTTTTTTTTCTGAAGTCAAAATTTATTTCGATTGCACACTTAGATATCGATATGAGTCTTAAGAGTGTAATTCAAGAACGGTTGAAAATAACATCTATTTAATCAAAATCTTGTATAAAACGATCGAATTATTAACATTAATGTTGAAAAAGAAAAGAATCTGTAAAGTCGTCCGAACTACAGTGGCGGATTTAAAGGGGACACTAGGCAATAGTTTTTCCATTTTGAAATATTTTTCAATTTTCTCAACAGAAAACGTCTAAAAATGAATCGATAGGAAGTCTAATGGACTTCAAAATACATTTTATGATCATGACCGCCATCCTTTCCATAAAATCCTAGATCCACCACTGCAAAATTATGAGTCATTCTATTATCTCACTCTCTGTAACACCAAAAACCAAAAGTTAGTGTCATTAATTATCTCGTTTAACCAACTGCATTTATGCTATTCTATAGTCATTAGTTTTTGTACATTATTTAAATAGAGAAACAAAATATTTGGTCAGCAAGTTAAACAAATAAAAAAATCAGTAAATTGAACGAATGGTTATTAAATAGGCAGTTCGTAATGAATGAGGTCTGTTAATAAATTTAAAGAACATTAAATAAAATTTACTAAGAACCAATTAAATTAAAGAGTGAATGCAGAAATTCAAATGTATTGCAGTGTGATACACATGCTTTTTTCTTTGTACTATAGTAGTACAGATGCTTTGTACGACATACATGCTTAATATAGAACAAGTCTTTATCTGCTATATCATACAGACAGTGAAAAAAGTTACTGTTTATACAGCTGAAATTGAGTACGATGATCATAAGGGTGTGCATGAAATGACAACCGATTTGAATCCACAGTCAATTTTATACGGATAACAAAAAACTCTACTGCTAAAATGTATACTTCTTACTGACCAAATTTTAATTTTTTAACCTATTATTCAAGTACTGATCATATGTATATTTTTTTATTGACTGTGTCATCAATTTTACTTAGAGATGCAACGGTAACCGTGGACTACTGAACGGTGCATAACTACCGTTACGTTCTTAATTCGAGTCCGGGGATCCACTTCACGAATTCTAATTCATATTTCTTATGTTAATTTTGTCTTAAACATATTGAATAGAATCCATTAATTAATTAATTCATGCATACCTTCACTATCTTGTACAACTTCCATACGTCCACTAAACATTGCTTTAAACATAGTATCTTCTTTAGTTAAAGTATCAAAACTTGTTAGAAAAAGATGATTTCCCACATTAAGTTTAACATATTTTCCAAAATGATTATTAGGTCCCATCATTATATTTCGATTCGATGTCGATATTGATGGAACATTAGGTGTAGTTGTATCACTCATCTAAAAAATATGAATCATATACCTTTTTTTCTCGTTTTCATGCAAATACATATCAGATAAACTTTTTCATTTTTCATGCTATTAAAATAAATGAAGAATTATGAGAAAGAAAAAAAAAAACAATAACGACATGTTCTTGTATGCATATTTATTGATAATATAAACTTTTAGAGCTTGAAGACGAGACATAGTTTGATTGTAAATAAATCCAATTTCAAAGTGAAAGAAAAACAAGAACAGAACAAATAATAAATGTTTATTCACTTTAAAGAAAAATTATCAGTATAATTTTAAATGACGAGTTATTTCGTTGATTAATTTCGATGGTGCTACAAATAAACAAACACATAATAATAAATAATTCATATATATATATATATATATAATTTTATTAAACTAACCCGGTCCAATTCCAAGTACTGTCTTACTACCGGGTTCAATTTGTGTGCGACCTTGAATAAAATTAAAATAAAATTTATAAAGAACTAATAGGATAAAATCTTTCTTCATACCGGCATCTCGTATCAGACAAGTTGTCAAACCTTTACGTTTAGCTTGTAGTCGTAAATTTTCTCTAGAATAAATATATATTAATAGAAGCCTTTTTTGTTGTTTTTAAATTTTTTATTACAAATCATCAGTTGATTCACATTTACAAACAACTTTTGCTTGTCCACCAGAAAACCATGTATCGACAGCATCAGGTGCTTGTTCACATGCTTTTTGAAAACAACCAAGTGTGGCATGCGAACACTGTTTGACGAGATAGTTTATTTTCTTGTTTTCTAGTTAATAAAAATTTTTATTTTACTTACTTGTGCTGCGACTTTGCCTACAAGAGAATAAAAAAAAACAAATACTTTAAACAAATAAAATTTTTATTTTAAAATTTACCTTTCCCCATTTTTAGATCATTCCTTACTACAAGTACCATCTAAAATTCGATTAATTTTATTATCAAAAGTTATTAGTACAATCCCTGAGGGGTTTAAATGTGAAACACAATTTAACGGCCAATTCTAATCATAGAGAGAATGCTTTAGGCTACGTATTTTGGGATACATTTCTTCATCATCCTTTTACTTAATCCTCGAGAAATGTAATAACGAAGTAATTTCATATGTAATAATGTTTGGTATGATCTGTGGGCGAGCTATGCTTCAGCACTCGTCATAGGTCGTGTTTCACAAAATGGTAATTTAATATACTTACTTTATATTCTCCTTCGCTATCGGAACAACCTGGTTCGAACTATAAAAAAAAAACATGCGTTTTGTGATTCTTATTGTGCATTATTCTATCTACTGACACTTGTTTCATCATCACGTTCATCTCTACCGGAATCAAATGCATTCGAAATAACTTTCACATTGTTACTAACAAATACAGATGAGCTAAATAACCAACCAAGTGCCAAACCTTAAATTAACATATTATAGTTTACATTATAGTCCTACTTTCTTTGATTTTTACCTCCAAAAAATCCAGCCAAAAGGCCAGCTATCACATTTTTTTCATTAAACCAAGGAACTTCGTTCATAAGAAAACTAAAAAAAAAAAATGAAACAAATCATTGTTAGCTAATCGTTATAACAAACAATGTAAACTATATCTTACTCGCCTGAGAATGATGACATTGTTGATAGAAAATGTTAAGTAATAAAAAAAATTCTAAAAAGTATTTTTATCAAATATTAGTCTAAAAAAAGAATAATATGTTTTTGCAATGAAATAAATCTTATATATATATTGACAATGTGCAAACATTCACATTGAAATATACAAATGTGTAGAATGATTTTTCTTTCAAAAGTGAAGTCTATGATTGAAGATTATTAATCTAAAGAGAAGACAATTTCCAAGAAAACTTATTTTAGATATTATATAGAAACTTGCATTAACCATGAAGGTCACACATGCATCTCGTGATAAATAAGGAAGACAAGGGAAGGAATAAGATGAATCATGATAGCATGTTGTTCGTACGTCAATCAATCGCATTCTTTTCGTTATCAACATTAATATATGTCCTTCACAAATTCATCTATATTCAATGATGCAAAATGCAAGAAAAAGTATCTTTATATTGATCGGATAACAGAGAGCTTTCTTTTTTTTCTATGGTTTTAAAGTATATAATTGCTCAAGTCCAAAACGTGTACCATTAGTTAAATTTTCTTTTTGATTATAATCAGCTGTCGTAAGTAAATCAAATGGTAATTGGCACATGCCAGTTTGATGAACATATGCATCAAACATATGTAAGTTTCCTAATGAATTTGTTCGTTGACAAATATTTCCTATTTGTTCATATGAAAGCCATGCATAAGCATCAACTTCATTAGGATCAATTTTAATCGATATTTTATCACTTGTTCTTGATGATCGTACATGAAAATAAATAACAATATGATGTCGGCGTGGTAGACCATGATTAAGATCAACTGGAAATGATGACTAAAAAATCAATGTTATAAATAGAAAAGAAAAAAGATATATTTTTATTTTTACCTCCCATAAAGCTAATGTTCGTGATGTTTCAAGTTCATTTTTATTTATTTCAATACCTACTTCTTCATATAATTCGCGAACACCTGCTTGTAATAACTACATTTATCTATTTAATTTTATATAAAAACAATAAGAAATATTTACTGTTTCCCCTTGTTCAATACCACCACCAGGACATACCCAACATGATGGAAACGTTCGCATATGACTTGCACGTCTTGTTATAAGAACACGATGATCATGAGTTTCAAATAGTACGACTATTCCAATTGCAATTGAATTCGATGGATTATCAGGAATAATGGATGAATTATTTTGGAGATGAAGATTAGTAAATGGACAATACGATGGACGCTAATCAATAATAAAATCTCATTTTAAACACAAATGATAGAAAATAAAACATACTCGAAATAAAATCGTTGATTGATCATTACGTTGAATAATTAATTCATCATTTTCAAAACAAATATCTACATTAACACATTCACTATTCGATTTTAATTGATGAACTAAAGGCTACAGAAGGAAAAACAAAAACAACCATGTCTTTTATCTTATTCAAACTTACTGTAATAAATTTCGGGTAAATTTTTTGTTCATTAATATCAATTAGTAGAATTTGTATTTTAAATCGCTTATTATCTGTCATCTAATATAAACATGAAGAAAAAAAAATATGAGTTAAAGAGAACACTTTGTACAAACTAAAGGTTTCTTTTCTCCTTTTTCAATACACATAAGAAACAAAAACAATGACGAACAGTTTACATATAGACACTAAAATGATCTAGTCTTATGATTAGAAATTTAACGTTGTTGAGCACCATAATATTGAGCAACATTATATGATCCACTTGGATACGATTGAGGTTGTCGATGAGATGTTGGATAAACTCCTGGTGGTTGTTGTTGTAAACCAACTGGTAAATCATGTCGAATTGATCCTTGACTATTAGCTGTTGCATATGGATCATTACGATAATTTGAATAAAGATTGTAATCACTAGAAAAAGAAAAAAAAACTTATTCTTTTTTTGTTTTTCTTTTTGTAAAAGAATATAATCCTAACCGTTGACCAGGAAATTCCGGATCACGTGGTCGACTAGCATAATATTTTTCATAAGGATCATAATTATGATAAGGATCTCCTGCTGGTGGAGCTCCTTGAGGTACTGCAGTACCATAATACGGATCAACAGCTGGCGCACTTAGATGACGATCGTAAGGTCTAATAGAACAAAAAATAGAAAAAAAGATGTTTTCACAACAAAATGAATTTTCTTACCGACTTGGACCATAACCCTCTACTCGAACATGCGAAGGTATTTCACGATAATGAGGTGCTTCTGTTTGTCCACTAGCAACACTACTACCATAACTCGGTGCATCATAACCAGTACTATAACCATTATCACGTCCATCTTCATAATAACGACGAGAATCCGATCGAACAGTATAGGGACGTGATCGATCATAAACACCATGATCAACTGAAATACTATCATAAGGACGAATATCATTACGAACCCAAGCTGAACTATTATGACGCATTGGACCAACACCACCAACTGACGCACCTGAACTATATCGAGGTATACCATTGCTATTGCCTTTAGTTGCAGCACGAGCACGAGAACTAGATGAAAAGATATTATCCGATTTATTTTATAATCGAATATCAAATAATCATACTGTCGTAAAGCGCTTGCAGGTTCTGGTTGACCTGGTCGATGTCGAACTGTACTCGTTGAAAGCTAAGTAAAGGATGATTTCATTGAAGAATAAAAAACTACTCAATCACTTACCTCAACACGTAATCTTTTGCCATGAAATTCTTTATTATTTAATGCAACTGCTGCTTTTTCAGCTTCTTCCACTGAACCATAATGCTAATCAATATTTAATAAATATATCAAAACAAAATCATTATACTACTCATATACTTACCACAAATCCATAATCTTTAATCACTGATGCTTCAAGTACAGTACCAAATGATGAAAATAATTCACTTAATTCATCTAGATAAATAAATAATTAATTAAAATAAAATATATTTAATTGATAGTATACTTGGTTGTGTTGCTGGATCAAGATTACCAATAAATAACTTTGTTTTTATTATTTTAACTGGTCCACTCATTGTATATGTTCGTATCTGCATTTCAAAAATAAAAATAAAAAGTATAATTATTATGATTAAATAAAAAATTTTCTTTACAAAATTTTAAAGAAAAAAAAAAAATTTATATGAACGCAATGGAATTATCTTCATCTTCTTCAATTTTCCTATGTTTACATTAGTGACAACGATTGTATATCGAAAACGATTAGAAGAAAGATCACAATACAATAGCAACAAATAAAAAAAAAAGAAGATACACACAACAAATATACATAAAAATAGAAAATAAATAATTTTACAGATACATATTTTTTTTTTTGGCGTTCTATGAGAATAAATAAACGAATTCTTTTAGATAAATCAATCGGTTCAGCGTCAATGGCGCATAATTATTCGTCATATTGTGTTCGTCATCGTTCGAGCGTAGATCAAATACGCAATAAACTGTTAGATGAATGAGAATAAGAAGCGAAAATACGTGCGTTTTTTTAATTTGGAACGAAACGCGAAAGCGAAGAATGCACAAGCTAGAAGAATAATGAGAAAAAATGCATTCGATTTAATATAGATTAATAAATAGAAATTTCATTTTTTTTCATCTTTCAGAAATTCAAATTCATTCACATTTATATATCATGGAAAAACAAGGCATTCGATAAGTGCATGAAAAAAGTCAAGCAAGCATACTGAAATCTTTAAAGCGACATCGTATATTAACGAAATCTTAGATTTGATTGTTTTGAAAACTAACGGATACTTCCAATTTCATATGAAGTAATCATAATTAATAAGATAAAAGACGATATTAATATTATGCATGTAGATGCGGACTAAGACCCAAACTCAATAGAAGCGAAGTGTTCTATCTGACAAAAGTGTCAACAGTCAATCTTTCTAAGATTCGAATATGGCATGCAATGCAAAATCTATCTATGATTAATTAACCGGTGGGCTGACATCAGTGTGCAGGCAATTATGACTATTTAAAAAATTAACACTCACCATGAATTCTACTGACGAGAGAAGTTTCCCAACTGATTGATCACTTTTAAGCCTGAAACATGTGCATCATGTAGGTTCTACTAGGTTATCAATACCCAGAAAAGCGTTCGGGCCTATCGTTTATTTCTGTCAGCATATTATATTTTTTACAGTATTTTTCCATATAATACCATGGTACTCCTCAGAGACACCAGAAGAATTGATCTACAAATTTTGACTTGAAACTTGGCATGAAAAAAAGCCTTAAAGAGAATAGTTAAATCTTGAAAGTATCAAGCCATTTGATCTATTTCTGTTTTGAAATAAGAACATTGGATCTAAGGGCACATATCAGCGACGTAGATGATATGCTTTTTGTCGTGACTATATCTTAGGATAGGAATCAAGAAAATATTTTAAACTTTCATAATAAACTATTCTTGTTAAGGCTTGTTTCTATGCAAAATTTCCAGTCAAAATTCGCAAATCAATTTGCCTGGTGTCCCATAAGATGAATCGTGGAATTATATTGAAAAAGTATCTTAAATATGTCGGCAGCAATAAGCTATAGCTTTGAACTCTTTTCAAAATATTCATAACCTATTAAAATCTACATGATGTATATGCTTCTAACTCATAAGTGATTAATCAGTTAAAGAACTCCTGTCGTGAGAAATTAGATTGCAACGAAAGAAACATGAATGTCAAATGAAGAAATCTCTCCAGGTAATAAAAAGCTTTTCCAATGAGACTTGTGTCATTAGGTAGACTTTACTAAGACTAGGCAAAATCGATAATGATTCACGCCCTTGTCGCTTCTTCTTCAAATTATGTCAATTTTACTGATGTTTTGGTCAAGTGCAACTGTGTCATTTTGATTTAAAAAGTTTTTCCCATGAGTAGTCTTCTTGAACTTTATCATACATCAAAATTTTTCTTCTTGATATAATAGATTTACCAAAAAATCACATTTTTCTTAATCATCATAAACTATATATATATTCGTTCTAGCTGAAACTTTCGGCATATAATGAAATTCATAAGATTTCTTGCTGAACGCGATTTCAGATCAAAATAACGATATCGAATTTTTTATGGCATACCTTGCACTAGACTAGACAATCAATAAAATGATCATCATTTCAAAAGAAAGCAGCAAGAGTATGAAATATTATAGGTTTTACTTAGTATTAGTAGACTCTACCTAATAACACAAATCTCGATTCAAAAGCTTTTTATCACTTAATGAAATTGTCTTTCATAAGTAAAAAATAAAAGATCTTGTTTATTGTTATATTGTATTTCATTCGCAATATCAATACAATGCGACGTATATGTAATCTTATCGAAAGAAAATAAAAAAAATAAATTTGTTTAAGCGAAAAAATAATCGAAAATTTAAATTCTCACATACCTCATTTTTATCTGAATGATAATTATTTGTTATAATGAATTTTTCTTCTTCATATACATCTGAATTGAATTTACATGACTATGCACGATAAAGGTAAAGTTTTGACGTCAATTTATTGACGTACACAATATCACAGAAATCAATCACGAAGATAACGATGATATTTAATCGATTTTATAAAATTATCACAGAACCTACAGTTTTTCCTAATGTATTTACAAGTATATAATCACCTTTTTTTTTCTTAATTACCATACAAGTTTCATTTGAATATAGCATACGCATAAATGTATTGAAACCATAATTTAATCAAATATAATAAACCATTATACAATCTAATAAGTTTATCATGAATTGTTCTTAAAAACTTTTCAAATATTTGTTCATATTGTTCCTAAACAACGGCATGTGCAAATGCAATGAAAACACCGTTAACTAAATTAAAATAAATCGACTAATTAAATATCTGATGAAAACTTTCTTTAAAACTAAGATTATATAGATTAATATACGGATGACTAATTCATATTTACTAACAGTAATAATAAAATCAATGACAACTGCAATAAGAAATATTTATATATAATTATTCAAACGCTAATAAATGCAAAACTAATAATCGATTCATCTCTCCATTGACTATATTGAATTATATCTATGAAATATGCATGGACAAAGTAAAGTAAAGCATATATTACTGATTTATCCAAATTTTCTCTTTTGGAAAAGTAACTTCAAACTGCAGGAGGACACCAAAAATTCAGGTAGGGCAATTCGATGGCATCTAGAGAGACGCCGCCTCCTCCAAGCCTCACGCTGACATAGAATAAGAAACTAACAAATATTTTATTCATAAGAAAATACGTTTGATACTCAAAATAAAATTGAAAAAAAAAAAAAGAATCTAAACTTACATGATGATTAAATTTCATAACAAATCGATCACATTTTTTTCCAATGATATATTTGTGAAGTTTTAAAACTTTGAATTATGACTAATTGACATAAAATCTTTTTTTTAATGAATGTGCGTCGTTCATTTCGTACAAATCCTATGATTAACATAATTAAAAGATAAAATTACAATAGGATTTGTTTATTATGCTTACAAAATGAAATCGAGGACGAAGAAAAATTGCTTGAAAATAATCTTAGGACCATAGCAGAAAAAATAGATAAATAAATAATACTTGATAGATTCTTGGTTTTCTGCGGAAAGCATTTGCATAATATTATTTAATGCATGAATCAGACTAAATAGATCAAATAATAACGAATGTATATAAAAAATCGCTCAAGCATTCAACTCTAGTTTTTTTTTTAAACAATACATGTTGAAATCTTCGTTTAAAATCAGACTTTTCTAAAGAGCTTTTATTTATCAACATACAAAATTATGTTTTTTACTTTTTAAACTTTCATTATCACTAATGTCCTCATCAGAATCAAAGAAGAACAGATGTAATTTCAATAAGTGGACAATGGCAATAGCTGTCGATCTGTAGTTTTCAGCAATCGAGCGAAGAGAACTTCGAACATATATTTGTTTCATATGATATAAGAAAAAAAAATTTTTTTTTAATCTATGATCTTTCCGAACAACTCAAAAACGTTGCTAAAAATCAAAAGAATTCGCCTGAATATCTACGCGATTTTATTTGCTCAATATTAAAATGTAAGATGATAATCATCTAACTCGTGTGATGAACTTAAGATCAGAGGAAAATGTCGAAGTCAAAATTACATCGAAACAAAACATCGTTTTCATGCGCTTTTTTAAAAATATTGTTTGAAAATTATAGGTTCCAAAAGAATTTTGTGTTATATAGTATCAGATAACGACATATCTGAAATTCTCTTGTTTCGATTGCAGATTACTAACGGTTGTCGTTGTCGAATGATTGAGTTTACACCTCCACCTGTTCTTCTTTAATTCTAGTATGGACATTAATACTAAATATTATAATTACAAAACTAATCCCATAAAATTGAAGACCTATAGTATTGTTATTATTCGTAGTATTTAGTATACAAGTTGATCTTAACAAAGAGAAAGAAAAGTTAAGCAATATCTAATTTACTTCCATAGAGACGAATACTAAAGCTTCATTTTTTTGGAACATACATTGAATATATTTATACGTACATTTCAGTAGAATCATAATGTATTAGTCGACTAAATTTTTCTGAACTTGTATCAAAGCACAACTATAAATTCATATCGAAAATATTTTTGCATACATATCTATTTCTAAACAACACTCTATCTGTAGCCATTCATATGAATTATTGTCCTCTCACCAATCATAATCGACGAATACAAATTCATAGAACAAACTATGGATCATGTTCTGGACTCATTCCCATGAACGAATATTTACATATTTCTAGTTTGTATGTAAATGAAATTATAAAATCGAAATGTCTCAACAACAATCAAATTCAATTTCGAATGATTTTTCATATTTATTTTTTCGTAATGGAGTTTCTTTTCAAATAAATTATGATGATGATGAAGATAATATTAATAATAATAATAATAATAATGTGCATGATGATAAATCTCAAATATTAAAATTAAGTGATTTATGTTGTTCATTAATTGTACAAAATGAATATTTAACTGAACATGCATGTGATATTATACCAAAAGAATTATTTTATCCATTATTTCGTGCTGCATTAAATTCTACACAAGATGATACATGTATAAATATATTAATATCGCGATGGCCATATAGAATATTTCGTTTAGAAAATTTTGTTAAAAAAAAATTAACATCATTAAAAATGTTATTATGTGAAAAAACGGCATTACAAAGAACAAAACAAGCTATTAAATATTCTGTTATTTTAATTCCACGTTTTATTGATTCAATACGACAACAACAACAAATAAATAAAAATAAATTATCTAATTTACGTATACTTGATGTGACAAATTTTCCTGTTGTTGAATTAATATTAAGATATATTTCTACACATTGTCGTTTAGCTGAAAAAGAAACAAAACGTAATCAATTAATTGATATTTATCATCAACAACATCAACATTTATTACCTGTTCTTAAATCTGACGATGAGAATAGTAATGACAGTGAAATTAATATTTGTACAGGTAAAATATTAAATCTTGTCAGCATAACTTTCGTGCACTAAAATGTGGAACTCACATGTGTTCTATCATCTCATTATACTAATTAGTGATCAAAAAGCACTCAGACAAAAAGTCTCATTCACTTTTGAGCTTGTTAAATAAGTCTCTATCGTTTTGAAGTTATGAGTCGATTTGTTAGAAGCTCATAAATATAGTATTGATTATTTTTCATAGTCAGAAATTGATTAGTTCACGCTTTTTATGTTGATTATATAATGATTATGGTAAATCAATGCATCGCTAACAGAATGTGAGCCATTTCTTCACACCCACACCCAGAAAAAAGTGATCTGTTAACAGTTCTGTTCGTTATCCATCATTAGTGACATGTGGGACATCATTTTTTATTTGGGCAAAATATCAAAAACTGCACTAATTAGAACATTCAGAGATCTATTCAAATCTTTAGAAGTGCTTTGTAATGTTCTAGAACAGTCTAAGGCGTATTGTTAATACTGTTCAGCATTTTTTTTTTCGTTGCTATGGAAACTTATTCAATGATTGTGGGCCTCCCTCTCCTGTTGTTATGAGAGAAGTAGTCGCAAATATTTTTCTTTGGAACACGTTATGTGATTTCTACACGAAAAACAAAAATTGAACTTGAATAAGAGAAAAAATTTTCTATAAAATTTTTTTATGTAGACACTCAATCAGTAAATTCAAATGATAATAATGATGATCTTATTAAAACAAGTTCATATCCAGATGATATAATTATTATTCGTTTTGATTGTATTATTCAAGATTATCGAACATATGTTGAACTTCTATCTGCTCTTCGTTCATCAACTCCAAATATTCAATTACAAATATGTACAATTGATATGCGTTGTATTGGTTTAGCACTTGTTAGCAGTTTTCTTGATCATGTGGACAAACGAGTAAATCATTAATTTTTTTTTTTTTTTTTTTTTTTTTTTATTTTTTAAATAAAAATTTTTTTGTTTTTTCATTCTCTTCTTGTTTCATATAATGTATTAACACGACAAAATTTAAAATATTTTCTTCCACGTTTACCAACTTTAACACAATTACATACATTAGATTTATCATGTAATTTTATTGATTTTCGTCTTAATCATGATGATTTGGAACAGTTTTGTACTGTTTTATCACAGTTAAAACATTTAAAAAATCTTTCATTAAGTGGTTCACCAATAACAAATCGTCTTGAACATATATTAAATTCTATTGAACATTCATTAGATATATTAAATCTTGATTTTTGTTCTTTATGTGAAAATGATTTAATTAGTTTATGTCAAATGAGTACGCGTCATCAATTTTTGCATTTAGATTTAGGTACAAATCGTTTAAATCGTTTTATGCGTACATTATTACTTGTTTTAATGAAACAAAAACGTCTTGTTGTATTAGAACTTGATTATAATCGTTTTTCATCAAATGATTATCTAGAATTAATAGCTTGTTGTCAACGTTTAACAACATTAAAATGTTTAAGTGTTCGTGGACCAAATTCTTTAACAACACAATTAGCTGCTGCAACATTTATTGGTGAACATTATCCATGTTTACGTTCATGGAAAATTGCTTCACCTATTGAATATTCTTTGAATCGTTTTGTAGGAAATGATGAACAAAATTATTTAATACAAACTATTATGCCTTATGATATATTTGTTAATGAAATGAATAAACGAGCTAAATGTCTTGTTTCAATAGCTGAACTTACTGTGTGATAAAATACAATTTTTTCAAGTTGTTGTTTTAATAATTGTTTTCATGTTTTTTTTTCTTTAATAAAATAATAATGTAGATTATAGTTGAAAGTATTTTTCAGTTGTTATTATTTGACATCTGTTCATTGATATATGTACATAATTTTCATGAGATCGTTTATTCGATGAAAAAAGATAATAAATGGAGATAAACTTGTAATTTATAATGCATGTGTTTATACTATTTCTAGGATTGTATTATTTCATTGTTCTCTTATGTTCCATTGAATTTACTTCTGATTTGATGATTCTCATATAAGTATCTTCTCAACTCGATCTTGTTTGATGAATTTTCAGTTCGGTCGTAATATTAATAATTACAATGATTCGTAATTATATTTAATGTAGAAGAGGATAACTTATATAATTAAAAAGAAAAATACAAAAAGTTATCAACGTTTATAATGCACAAATATGTTATGTATATAATGAAAAGAATGAAGTTGTTTCTCGGGAGAGCAAACATCGATGTTTGAGAATACAGATACTCAGTACATAGTACAATAACTACAAACTTCAAAAGAATACCGCCCTTAAACCTCCTGTTGAATAAAGCAGTGTGTGGATGTGAGTGAAATCAATAGCCAGATTGACAATCACACTCATCCACACCTTTATCGTCAATTATTTTTCACCATCATCAAATAATATAAAAAATCATTCACAGTCAATAATTAACTAATTCTTTTATTTTCAAACTTTCTAACATTTCATATCTATGTTCTACTATGTATTTGTATATATATATGTAGAAATGTACATATTATCTTTTTGTTTAAATCTATCTATTTCACTTGAAATTATAAAAGATTGATAAAATATCTATTTAGTAGTGTTTGGAAAAAAAGAACAATAATATTTTTCTTTTTATAGCTATTTCAAACACGAAAAGTCAATAGTATATTTGATGATGTTCTACGATACAATCAGTCAATCAAGAAATAATGTCTATGTTTTTTTTGTACAGTTTGCTTTTGAACCTTATTAATTCAAACAAATCACACAAACAATGCACATGTGGGTTGCAGCGTTCTCATCCTTCTCTTTGTCTGGCTGCTTACTGCAGGCATATTCTCAGTACTTACTGTATGAGAAAATAGCTTGATAACTAAGAGCGACCATAAGAATATAAATCATGTATTATATTTATAATATAATATTTTGTGTTTCTTTTCTTGGATGATAATGCATTGTACTCATTTTCGATTTTTGTTATTTCTTCCTTGCTTGATGCAGAGAGGTTTCGTTTTCGTTTTGTCAACACTCTAGTAACAAAGGAAAGATAAGATATTCGAGAAGTGGTAAACGAAATCCATACATTTCTACAGCAATGAGACATAAATATATCAACCAAAGAAAGGAATAGCAATATATATAGAAAGACAACATCGTGCTCGTTGCATCCATTCATTCACCCATCATGCGTATCCAAAACTCGAAAACAACTATGCAGCCTCATCATGCTCGTCGAATAGTACAAAATTTCCTTCTCGTCTGGCATGATGCCAATATTGATGAGTCAAAAGAAGACTTCCAAAATTCATTAACACATCTACGGCATCTTATTGCATCAATCACGACATTCACCGATGCTGAAGAATGTATACAATTTATGAAGGATATTAAACAAGAAAAAATATTTTTGATGATTTCTGGTTCACTCGGGCAACATATTGTACCGAAAATTGATACATGGTCACAGTTGGATTTCATTTGTGTTTTGTAGCAATCAATTGGCCCATGAACAATGGGCTAAAACGATGTTTAAGGTAAAGGGAGTTCACACTAATATCGATCCGATTTGTAAAGCATTACAAATCGATCTGGAACGATGTGATCAAGCTATAATCTCGATCAGTATTCGTGGTATTGATTCGTCGTTTATGTACACGCAATTGTTCAAAGAAATTCTTTTGCAAATTGATGATGACGACGCTAAATTCGTTAAAGAACTCGTTGATTATTATCGTCTTCAAGGTAATATTGCGGAAGACGAAATCGAAAAGATCGAGCAAACATATCATCTTCATACACCCATTTGGTGATATACGACTCCATATTTTATTTACTCGATGCTTAATCGAGGTCTGTGATTACTTGACATTGATATAATACTCAAAATGGGCTTCTTTATTCAACACTTACATCGGCATAGGAACTGTTCAGAAATCATGCATGTATAAATACATGAGTAATCTTTTTCGGTTAAGTCATACGTAGGACTATAATGTGGCTGCACCATCCATCCTACAACCACAGAACATCATGCAATCTGATTAAAATACTCGCTTCACTACACTAAAACACCTATATCCACACTCAATTAAACACTAGAGAACAACAGTTTTCTTATCTGTTTCTATTTCATGAGTTACTGTAGTTATGGGTTCTCTAAAACTTTTGTATCGCAATATGCGCTGCTTGAATACATTGACATAGTATATTCTTCTCCATATGATAGAATAATTTATTGTTAAGCAAACAGATTGATTCTCTTGGTGTATGTTATTTCGTATCAATCAATTTAGTTTCCTCGTGCTTATGTATTTTTACAGAATGCAAAATTTGTTCATTTTCAGTTTAACATATATGTAGAAACAACTGGATGCCAAAAGAAGAGACAATCCATATCAGCAGTACAAAATGCGTATAGATTTAGCAATATTATGAACGTAGACATAACGATTACATATAGAGATAGACTGATATATGCATATCAGACAGACATAGAAAAATAGATTATGCATACAAAGTAACGGACTGAGCATATGCATCCATGTAGCAGATTTTGTAATCATGTTTTTCCAGTTGTGTAGCTTTTTCATAATGAAAACATAGGAAAAAGAAGATTTTCAGAAAAAGAAAGGGGTGAACGGAGTGGAATGGTAGTCTTTTTGCTTTAACTAAAATACTATTTTGTAAATTCTAAACTTCAAGATGATATTCTCGCTACTAAACCCATAGTCTCACACCTACCAGTTATTCATTGTCTATCGATTCATGATGCATGATGGGAAAGAGGAAGCTAGAGATTCACTAGTGTTCGATTACGAGTTTTCAGAAATAGAAGACTTTATTTGTTCATAATTCGATTCATTTTAAAATAAGATCTTCTTCGAAAAAAGATCAAACTAAAAATACAGTTTCTCAGGTCTTCGTTGTAGTGAAATTCTTTCTTCCGTTTCAAAAGTGACATCGTTCCTCATTATTGTCGCTTAGTATTGTTTTTCTATAGTGTTGTCCAGAAGACAAACAAAATGATGAAAATACTTCTACTAATTATGCAGGCATCAGTGAATCAACAACAACATGAAGCATCACAAGAAGAGGAGATTATCTGTTTATCACGATCACCTCAAATGGAATAGAAACTACACAACCATTCATTGTTTCATTGTGATTTCATTAAGACTTAAAATTATCCATTCATTTTGTCATATGCATTATGAAAGTTATATAGATACAATATATTTTATGAAAGTTGTCAAAACCAGCGTTTAAATGCAATTTTTATGATTCGATAATTCTCCAGGTATCACAACACAATGATCTAGCTTTCCTGTGCAAATAGAAAAATTTGAATAATTGCTTCTTATAGAAAAACTATTGCGTGTACTTCATATTTAGCCAGCTATTTTTATTGATTCCATGACAGATGTTCCTAAGACAGTTGCTCTCTAACGATACTTAACAGAACTCTTATTAATTACAAGAACAATATATGAGCGTGTGTCTGCATGCGAGTGTGAGTGTCTGCGTAATGAGAACCAGTAGACGCTTTCTCAACCTCACATTCCAACATGCTCGCATATACACCAACACCCACATTCACGCCATTCATATCTACATCCACACTCTTATATATAGTTCTGGTACTCTTTGTAATAACCATCGATCTGAAAGTCTGCGCAACATCGTCGACTTCATTTGTTGACGTCAAAAACGTTGGCTACTATGAAGGTGAAGAGGAAGAAATTCTTTTCTCGACGCATACAATTTTTCGCATCGATCGAATTGAACAAATTGAAGACAAGCATACTGATCTCCTATGGTAAGTTAATATCAGCCTCAAGAATAACGACGACAATGAATTCAGCAGACTCATGGCACGCATACGAGAGGAACTCAATTCGGCGGGTACAGAATGGTCTCGATTGGGAGAAATACTTATTAAAGCAGAGGAATCTGCTAAAGCAAAACAACTCTATCAGATCCCCCTCAAAATGGCATCTTCCGAAGAACAACAGGCGAAATACAATTTTCAACTTGGTCGGGTGTATTACAACATCGGTAAGTATTCAAAAGCAGTCTCATTTTACGAACGAGCCCTCGATATCTGCAAAACAATTCGCCTTCCTAATCACCCTGGCTTGACTTCACCCTACAACAACATCGGTTTGGTATATTATAGCATGGAAGACTACTCGAAAGCACTTTCAGCAAACGAAAATGCACTCGAAATTCGACTGAAGTCTCTTCCTCCGAATCATCCCTCCTTGGCTTCTTCGTACAACAATATCGGTTTGGTGTACTATAACATGGGCAAGTACTCGAAAGCACTTTCGTTTGACAAACAAGCATTTGATATTGATCAAAAAGCTCTCCCTCCGAACCATCCCTCCTTGCCTCTTTCCTACAGCAACATCGGTATGATGTATCAAAACATAGGTGAGCACTCGAAGGCACTTCCTTTTTACGAAACAGCGCTTAGTATTCGCCAAAATTCTCTCTCTCCGAACCATTCAGATTTGACTCTATCTTACAACAACATCGGTTTAGTGTATAAAGCCTTAGGTGAACATTAGCAAGCACTTTCATTTGTTGAACGTGCACTTGATGTCCACCAGCAAGCTTTTCCTTCGAGTCATCCCGACTTGGCTACTTCCTACAACTACATTGGAGAGGTGTATGATAAAGTGGGTGACTATTCGAAAGCACTTTCATTTTACGAAAAAGCACTTGGTGTCTGGCAAAAATCTCCACCTGCAACGCATTTGCATATTACAATATTGATAAGAAACATTGAACTTGTGAAAGAAAAGCTGTAATTGATCTTCTTTTTTCTTTCGTATAAACATTGTGTGGTTTCTTTTATTCATTATGAGCTATGCTCGTGAACGCTATTTGTATTCGAGCTCGTTAGAATACCACCGTGGATCATTCCAGGAATGATCCGGCGACTGTACATGCGAGGTGATGATAAAGACCTGCATGTACGTCTGTACATATGAATACGATGTTGAGACTCTATGGGAGGACTAAAAAGCTGCTCCATCGGCTGGGTTAGAATGATTGAGATAGGAAGCGAAGAGTGTAGCACGAAATGAGGAAAAGGTTGCGAGACGGGACGGCGCATTTCGGAATTGTCAGTGATCGGAAACGATGATGTGATAGGTAGGAGAGACACGATGCAATAAGAAGATAGCATGAACGATAACATCTAAATCACGGCACCGAGCATGGTATTTATCTTCACACATTTCATTGTAGTTCCAGCCTTACGCGTAATTGAAATAAAACGATATGTGTGACGCACACACATCATTGAAGTTTGAACGTTCAGAATATATGAAACTAAACGTTATGTGTGTACTGATAGAATAGATCTAGAGACATGAACGCAGAAAACTCTGCAACCGAACCATGATTGGTTTTGACGCCATTATGTGAACAAAGAAAAAAGGAAAAAATACAAGGATCGTATGGTAAGATAAATCTGTTTTCTCGTAGAAGAGGTTTTATATTCGAAACATATTTTTAATTGCGTTTTTCCTTTCGTAACTTTTCTAAGCTAGTGAAAACATAACATGCGCCAGACTCCATAAGAAAAACTTTTACTGTTGACCGAAAATCACCGACAAGGGTAATCGAGCATGGAGAATTCGAATCCGAGCACAGTTTTTACTCTAATATTAATGTTTAATATTTAATCAGTTAACAATAATAATATTTAATAATTTATTAATGTTTTTGAAAAAAAGCTTGGTCAATGGTTATTCAGCTAGGGGGTCTGGACGTCGATGTTTCTCTTGATTTCACCCGCGCTCACATCCATACCCACATCCTGAAACATAGCAGCAACATAGTACTGCATAATGATGCATTTGCTGGTTCACAACATCCTTTTCTCCGAGAGTTATGAAATCCGAAGTAGAAACAAGATTCTATCCGTCATGATAATCATGTGTTCACGGGAAAAACCTAAATACACATGGTGCCACCAAAACTCAGTTCTTCTTGAAATATGTGCACACAAACTTTCAAACATCTATCTGTTATGTTGACTAAGATACGGAGGGAGAAACACTTACATCTATAAATGTATATCAAAAATTGATAAAAATGACATTTCATATTAGCTTTCAAATAATAAATTTCTAATCTTAGTTTTTCTATATCACTTTCAAAACTATTGCGTCCCATGAAAAAGTACACAGCATAGACAAAGAAAAGAAGGAAGATGTATATAAAAGAACAATGTGAGCGAAATTTTAATATCCTAAAATAGCCATCCAAATACGTAAGAAATACATAAAAAAGAAAAGAATTTTTCATAGAATTAAGTACACACTGATCTTGTACAAGATTATTTTAAATCAAAAACCGATCAAACAATGTTTTCAGTGAAACACATGAAAACTAATTGACAACAGAAATAAGTTCATCACCGTCGGCACACACAACAAAGTCAAAATCTGTTTCATACGTACTTTTAACACTGCTCAATAATACATCAAATAAAGAACGCGTTAGAATCGAACTACCTTAATCACTATTTAATAAATGATCATAATCATTATTTGCACTACCACTAGCTATATCATGTAGTCGAGATGGCGCAATAAGAACAGTTAAACATAATCGAGAATCATTTGAACGTGTACCTCCATATAATATTTCTGTAAATGGATTTTGTAATGTACGTTCACTATGACTTATTGGGTTACTAACATTTCTTCGAATGCCTTTAGTATTATTTTCTGCTTGATTAAGTTCATCTGAAAGAGATAATAAACTTGCCTGAACTATTTGTTCATAATGATGACTATGTATTAATGAATATCCATGTTGATTTCAACAAGTTGTTGCTGCTTATTAAACATCACCTTCACATTATTGTATTTTTTTCAATTGTCATATTATTATTAGTTTTATTGCAATTTCTTTTTGTTTCTTCACCATCATCAACAATATCACTAATTAATTCTCTTGAATTATTTTTCAATGATGGTTAAAGAAGTGATTGAAGAAATTCCTGAGCAAATAGTATCTGGAGACGATTCAAGAATGGATGAATCTTTTTTGTTGTTGTTGTTTTGCTTCAACTTGTTCTATAAGACGAATTTCAAGTAATTTATGGCATTCATTTAATTGATCAGATACTTGTTCATCAAAATCTTTTGATAATGAACCTAAAAATAAGGTAAAGATCAATTTGAAATAACTCAACTAATTATTGTTGTTTACTTATGTTCAGAGAATTGTTATTGACTTGATAATGTAACTTACTTGATTAATTTTTAGAATCAATTTTCAATTTGCATCTTTTATCAACAATTAAAAATTTTTAGTTTATCTTAGAGGTACTGATTGACGTAGTTAAATATTAGCCTAAAATTGCTCCTTAAGTATTAAATACAGAAAATAAAATTCTTACAATCTATACTAAGCACAACCTTCTCACTAATGCTATCAATTTTTATGTTTAGGTCGTATGATGTTTAAAAACAAGAACAAACTCCAATATTTGATTCACTATGATCAACGAGGAATGGTAGAAAAAAATTTAACTAATCGACGATAAACTATGAAAATGCCTTTCAATCTCTCATAAGTATGATTTCAAGTTAGACATATATCGAAAGAATTTCATTTTCTCTATTCAATAGCATCATAACCTAGTGAACTATAAAGTGAAGATCAACTAAATTTTCTCCGCTTTGTTCTTATTTCTATAACCAGTTTATTGTTTAACATATTAATTATATTTAGAAAAAAAGTATGAAACCTGTCGCATGCTATAATAGATTCATTTTGAAAAGCAAATAAAAGTTAGAATATGAAAATTATAACGGAAAAAAGTAGTGTTGTTCTTTTACCTATAGACAATAGGAACTAAGCGGATTTCTTCTCTTATTATTATATTTTTGTTTATGTTTGATTACTATATATCCATTTACGACTTGAATTTATGGAGAGCTCTGTCTACTAATATAATAAAATAAGATTAAGACTGTTTTATCACTGGAAAATTACTGATGAAGATGTTTTAATAATAGATTATGTTTGTGGAAAATAACATGATAGACTCTCAACAATATCATTCGTTTTCTTTTGTTGCAATAGTTTAAATAATAGTTATTATTTTGTATTTGAATTTATGATAAATTTAAGTATTGATAACGTTAACAACTTTAATGGAAGATTATCTCCACCATCATTTATTGAAATATCATCATGAACTATTTGCCAAACGATATCTATTGTTTTCATTATACGAATATTCACATTTAATGTAGACAAAGACAAAATGTAATTGCAAACAAGTATATCGCATATTACAAGAGAATAGCTGATTCTATTATTTTGACTACAAAAATCAGCTATTCTTCCTTAGATAAATTTCTTAGAATATCACAAGTCACTCTTTGTTTTCATTCGAAGAATACACAATATAGTCTCATTCACTTATGACAATAAATGATGATATATTGACACATTGCACGCATTCTTTCTTCTTCTAATCGCAACATATATCTATTAATAATTGAAAGACTTCAGAAGTTCTTCTAAAAACTTTAGAATTTGTTGCATGTATTTCTACTAGAATCGATGTCCCATCATCGCTTTCAAAGATTTACTTCGTTGATGTTTTATCACAAATTCTAATGTTTTATTTCAACGACAGGTCATAGTCGTGAGAATAAGAACTGATTATTCTGAAATATGACTTCTTCTATACTTAAAAAGTATTGTATGCTATCAACCAGTAAATCTCGAGAATCCCACTATTTATTCATCAATAAGGCTTTTTTTCAATGACTTCATGAAGATCTTGTTGACTTTCACAAATCGTCTCAGAATAGCATGAATATAGTTAAGCATAGTACTTTTAAGTAAATATGAAAAATTCTATTGAACATTCTGGTATCTATATTAAAAACTAACTTACAAAAATAAACAAAGATTAAGAAATGAAATGAACAAAAACACTTTTTTTTTTCGACACTAACTGTTCCAAAACATAAACTACGTAAGCTAAGGACTGCTCTAAAACTGCTATCATACTTTGTACAAATACAACTTTGAATTATTTCACAAAACTTATTGATAGTTTTCCAATTTTATGCCAGAAGAAAACTTTGAACATATGTTCGTAAATAGAGAAAAATTCTAATTTCAACTAACTGCTTCCTAGCTTTAAATCAATTGACCTTTAGTAGACGAAAAATGAGTGAATATATTGTGCCAAGATTTTCGCGCAGTAACTTATATATTTCAGAACAAATATCAAAATATGCTGCTAATTGAATTGAATTGAATATCAAGATTTATCCTTGATCGAATTTGCTGTATATAAAATTGCATATCTCCTATGATAGTAACATATTCCTAGCTTGTTCCGTTCGAGAGTTATAAGACATTTCTCGAGACCCCAGATTTTCAGTCAGTGAATCTGTGATTACCCGGAAAAGTATCCAGGGACGGATAATGCACCATGTTAAATCGAATAGTAATGTTTGTTTTTAGGTTCAAAATGATCTGATTCTGTTATGTCAAGATTTTCAAAATTTCACAATCAGCCTCCATATAATGAAGGAGTCGACGGTTCGAAATTTTGAGATAGCAAAGTCAGATCAGTTTGAATCTAAAAACAAGTCTCATCATTTGACTCAGCATGATAAATTATCACTTGTATTTCCGAGTGATCTCGGATCAATTGGTTGAAATTGAAAGTCTCAGGAAAAGTCTAACAACTCTTGAACGAAACAAGCTAGAAATATCGGTCTAGTGTAGATGGAAATGAAAATAGTTTCAGAATACTGTTTTCAAAAATCTTCACCAAGAACTCAGCTGATTCATCCTATTGCTGAGCTATCAAACTTTGATATATTTGAATGGTGAAAACCGCAGGTCTCTCTGATGTTTGAAGTTTGTGATAACTTTTGCTCTACTCATCGAGATCTATCTAGCCTAAAGCTTTCAAATATTTTTGATGAATCGAGAACGAAATATCCCTTTAAGTTTATCGCGTTCTATTTTAAATTAAATATTATTTATTTCGTTTATATAATGCAGACAAGATTTTTTTAAAAACTATATCCAATGTTTATTTATAAAACAAAAAAATAATCAAACTTCAATTAGTATCGAACGCGTTCATTTGTTTAGAACTAATTGGTATAACTCTATTTTGTATTCACACAGGCATAAATATATAAACACATCACAATGTGCGTGTATATTCCAACAATAATCATGACAGATAGCCATCACATAAACACATAGAGTTACTTATCGTCGAGATAGATAGAAGAAGAAAAAAAGAAGAAGATCAATGAATCAAATACCGCTATGATGATATTGAAGAAAAAGAAAATCGATTTTTATTTAGTGAAGATGAAAATTACAATGCATGCTGTTCTTTAAAAAAAACGAGACAACGTTTTTTTTTTTGTCGTTCGTATTTGTTATTTTTTGTTTTTTTTTACAAAGCAGAAAAAGAATAATCTGACCAAAGGCTCACAACAAGAAGACGCACTTTTGTCTGAGTCAAAACTAAAAGAAAAAGAAAAAAAAAAAAAAAAGAAAACCAACACAAACTAATTTCAAGTATAATATAATAAATTGACTTTATCAACAAAAAATGTTTTATTTCATTTTTTTTCTTTTATGCATAATCAGCTGTTGTGCGAGATGGTGAATGAATATCACGTTGAGTATACATTGGATAAAATGTTTGTCGTGCATATGGACTCATTCGTGTTGTATGATGATTATTTGATGATGATGTTGGTTCATTAACTGATCGATAATTTAAATCCGATAATTGAGAATAAACAAATGCATCAGCAGCATAACTTGCTAAATCAGGATTAACTAATGAATAAGCTGTTGGTGAAATAAAATTAACTGTTGGATCTAAAAAAAAAAAACCAAGAAGAAAGTTTTTACAAAATGAATGCTATTTTTATCTTGCGTATTTCCTTTTACCTTGAGGATCAGACATAAAACGAGAAGTTATTGCAGCAGCAGCTGTATTAAATACATTAGATGTTGTTTGTTGACTAACACTTGTTGTTGAAGGATTTGTCGGCATATTTGTTTGTGTTGTTATTGTTGAATTATTATTCGATTTTGGATGTGAACGAAGTAAACGTTGATTTGAATTTAAATGATTTAATACTTCTGCAACACTAAAAATGATAAAAAATAGATTTTTAATTAAAAGAGACACAAAAAATTTTCATACCAATCTTCAGGATCACAATCTCTAAAACCTTTAGCAAATGGATTTGATGCAATTTTTAATTGTGTTATACGATGATTTTGATAAGCCGTAACACCAATAAATTTTGTTTCAGGAAATGTAAATGTACGAAATGCTTGAGTTTGTTGAACAAGTAATTCATCAGCTTTTGATGATGGAGAATAAACACAATGAACTCGTGGTTGATAACGATGCATTGAATTAAGAATAATCTTTACACAAGAAAAAAAGCAAAACAAAAAAGTTCTTCTAAAATTTTTTTTTTCTTTTTTTCTTACATGTCCATTTTCATCAAGTAAATTATTTGTTAATTTAAGTTTATCAAATGATACAACATTTTTCATCCATGATGCACCTGTTTGTGGTGAATCCGGATGAACATGAAAACGACCTGGACAATGTGGATCAGCTTTACCCGCAACAACCCAACTTGAACTTTATATAGAAATAATAAATTATTTTATTTATAGAATTAAAAATTTTTCTTTTGTTTTTTACCTATAAAATGCATAACGATAACGTTTATCATCTAATGGAATAAAATCTACCATAAGTAAATATGTTGCTGTTGGATCCATTCCATAAATTTTCACTTGTAAAGTTGGAAACATTCGTCTAAAATAACATAAGTCGTTAAGACTTGTTATCTTGGACGTGATTGATAATCTACTGTCATAAGGATATGTGCATTCCTTCGAGCTATCAGTAGCACATGTTCGCAAGAACGACGTGCTTTTCTTTAGAATAGTGTGAGATGATCTCAAGAGACACCGCTCGATTGAGCCATTAGCATGAATCTTATCTGTTTGTTGTCTCGAATGATATTCAATATGACTTTTTTTTTCTTGCTTTTCGTTACATTTGATTTGTATGCAAACAATGATCATTGCTACGACGAGTTAGAAACCTAATTACACTTATGAAACTCATTGCTACTATATATTCATATTAATGACTTTTTCATCAGACATATACATATACACACGCAAAAAAAGAACAATCGTTTGACTTGTTTCATGGTTTCTTTAACAAATTAACTGAAGAAATTATCACTCATCTAATATGTTTCTTGTCCTTTTCTTTTTCTATCATTTTACCTTCCTGATCTTGTAACAATCATTTCTGTTCCAAGTTTATCAAATTCATCCCATAAGGATTTTGATTCAATAACCATTTTAATATTAGCTAATTTTGGATGAAGTGGTTTTTTTATTTCATTATTTCCATTTTGACCTGTACCATGTTCATTATCAGATTTATTTATATCGAGCATATTATTTGATGTTGATTTTATTTTTTCTGTTGCTGATTGAATATAATCTAAAATATTCAAAAAAAAAAAAATGTTAAATTTTGTTTGCTTTGATTGATAATCAACAACAACTAACCTTCCATATTACGAATTGTTGTTAAACTTTTTTGAAGATTTGTAACTTGTTGATGATGTTTATGATTTGTTGATCGATTTTCTTTGATTGTTCCTTGTTGTTGCTGTTGTTGTTGTTGATACTGTCCGTTATTCGTTT